CTGCCTTGTGTCAGGGAGTAACACCTTTTTACAGCAGCTATATGTAACTCTGCTAAATACCTGGATCCTTGGTTTGCTCCAAAAGGAATTATTCTGACCAGTTTCAGTGCCCTGAAATTTTTTGCTACTCTTCTGCTGTGTGGGCTTTGTTGCAGTAACAGGATAGTGGGTAAATACTGACACACACAATCTTCTGCTCTTGTCTAGACTATAAAGCAATACAATTATTACCTTCAAAGACCATCAAACTGTAAAACAAATCATTGTGTCTCAAGTTTACATAAAGCTACATAGATGGTAAATCTTTCCTAACATTTCTTTATTCCACTGTCTTGTGTTTTCATGTTGAAAATACTTCTGCTTTTTCCTCTTGAGTGCCAACTTCTTACTAGAATGACTTCTTAATGTAATATGTTTACCTGGAATGTATTTTAACTATTTTTGTATAGTGTAAACTGAAACATGCACATTTTGTACATTGTGCTTTATTGGATGTGGAACATATGCAGTGTGATCCAGTTTTTCCATAATTTGGTTGTGTGACCTAGGAATGTTGGTCATGCCAGACATTAAGTTAAAAAAAAGGAAAAAAAAAAAAGACCACTGTTTGTTTTAAAATTTTTAATGTTTTTAGGAGTATGTGCTGTGAGGTGATCTGGAATTTGTCATTTTTTTGTCAAACTGTACTGCTCCTATTTATTGTAATGTAATAAAAAATAGTTATTGTGAGTGTCTGTCTCAGTTTCCTTTTCCTCTGCAAGAATTTCAGGTAACAGAGCATCCCACGAGTTCCATGTGTTTGGCAGTTTTCTCTAGTCTTTCTTGCACTTCTGCTGGTGCTGCCTGTCCCACAGCTGGTGTCCTTGCCCCCCTTGGTGTCTCTGTCTTTGAGAGGGGCAGCTGCTCAGAGCAGGTGGAAGTGCAGAGGAGCTCAGTTGATGTGGAAGGAGTTTTTCATGTCAGTGTGGTGGCAGAAACTGGAGCACGTGCATTTCATCACAAAGTACTATACTCTGCCATCGCTGTTTAAATTCTGTCCTAGAATTCTGCGAGGATGGTGCTGCATACCCCACCCCCTCCTCAGGCCAGCTGTAATGTCAGAAATGCTCGTTCAGCACCTTGTGAGCATCTGGAGCTCTTTAGAAACAGTTCCCAGGAATCTGTGCTGTCTGAAGAGCTCCTGCTTTGTAACCAACAGCCCTGGAAGCTTATTTTGCCTGCCTGAAGGACACCCCCAGTGGAACAGCATTTTTGCTTTTGAAATTTCAAAGGAAGTTACCAACCTGGACTGTAGTCAGGAGGGAAAATTGCTGTGACTAAACCCACCTCACTTGTGATCCTATAAAGAGTGGCCTGAGTGAGGCCCTTGGAGCTCTCCTGGACTGCAGTGGGCAGTGACCAGAAGTTTCCCTCTGTGTGCAGCCCCTCAGAGCCAGTGAACTCCTGTTTGCTATTTGGAGAACCAGCAGTGACAACAGAGCATGGAATGATGCCCTCCTTCCCTGAGGCTCAACCCTTCAGCCACTGACAAGATGCAGAGGTGTCCAAGGTAAGTGCTTCAGTGAATTCCAGGGAAATTTCATACCTTGTACATACTCCTTCAGGACTGTTAGTGAGTGTGGATATGCTATAGAAAATCTACTGTGGATAGTGTTCTCAGAGATTCTAAGTACTGTAGATTGGCAAGTAACTCAGGGCTATGAGTGAGTTGCTGTTGTGCTTATAGGAAATTCTGTATGCATCTTTAGTTAAATTGTTTTAAATTAAACCATGGACTAAGTACTGTTAAGTTTAAGTGCTGTTAAAACTTCAGGCATAAATCACTAGTCAGATCTGGGGCTCAGTTCAGCAGCGGGGGGTCCAGTCTGAACTTAGTGACTCAATGGGAGCATCTCCCTTATTCATTTTATCCTTACCCTTTTCCATCCTTACCCTTTTTGCATCTCCAGAATCCTCAGAGATAAATTTTGGTTGATTTTAGTTTTAACTGATTGATTTTAGTTTGTGTTTTCTCTGTGTGCTTTAACCAGCTAGTAAATAGTGGAGTGAACCTTGTTGAATGGACTTGGTCACACTTTTTATTTTTATATTAAACCCGGTTTTGCTGATGCCTTTGCTGGCAATTCTTTGAGTGACCTTAAAACACTCCTTAGTGCCAGTATGAAGACTTGCTACTGCCAACAGCTCTACTGCAGTGATTCCTTACTTGTATTTCAAAGACTATTTCTCTCTCTAGTCTCATTTAGTTGGTGGAAACACCAACCAACCCAACAGAGCATCAGCTCTGACACGAGTGTGAGTTGAGCCAAGGCCTACAGAGACAGCCTGGAGCAAACAGCCACGGCCAAACTTCTCTTCCAGGGGCAAAGGCCAAGTTTTCTATTTCTGCTGCAGCAGTTACACAACAGCAGAAATCAGCAGTAGCAGGAGTTGTCTTCAGGGCCCAAGTGCTTAAAGCACTATTGTTCAAACTCACCCCTTTCCTGACCCCACAGCTGTCTCCCTGACGCAGCAAGGTGGTGCCTCTGCAAGTTGAGCAGATGAGGTTAAAAACTAAGAATTTACCTTCACAGAATCACAGAATAGTCTGGGTTGGAAGGGACCTCTGCAGACCATTTACTCCAACCCTCCTGCCCAGGCAGGGTCACCTGGAGCAGGTGACACAGGAACAAGTCCAAGTGAGTTTGGGATGTCCACAGAGAAGAAGACTCCACACCCTGCCTGGGCAACTGTTCAGGGCTCTGCAACCCTCAGTGTACAGAAATTCTTCCTCATGAGGTGGAACTTCTTGCTTTTATGGCCATTGCTCCTTGTCCTGTTGCTGGGCACCACTGAAAAGAGCCTGGCACTGTCTTCTTGGCACCCACCCTTGAGATATTTATATGCATTGATAAGATCCTCTCTCACTCTTCTCTTCTCTGGGCTAAACAGGCCCAGATCCTGCAGTCCCTCATAAGAGATGATCCAGAGCCCTCATGTTTATGGCCTCTGCTTGATGCTCTCCAGTAGCTCCTTGTCTTTCCTGCACTGTGGAGACGAGAACTGACCACTCCCTCTCCAGGGCTGGGAACCTCACTTCGGAGAGGGTGCTCATTTCCAGCAGAAACAGATTGTTCAACGTGGAGGATTTTAAATCGGGTTCATCTTTCAGGTTACAAGCACAGCGCTTTGAACTGACCCAAACACACAGCTATGGGGTAAGAGTTTCTGTTCAATACATACAATGAAGTGAAACAAAACAGGGCTGTGCAATCACTCCTTCCTGCAAAATCCTTTCATACCTGAAGTTTTAGTTTGAGGAAGTCAAAATCAGCACAGGAAAACCTATTACCCATAACCTGCACACCGCAAACCCTTCAAGTGACCTCTGGTGGGGAAGCAGCTCCTTCATTTGTGCTGTAGAGGGTTTGGAAGGATTTATATGTCACTTCTTTGCAGTTAGAGCTCTTTTATTGTTACTTTTCCTGGGTGTGTGTGGTTACAGGCATAGTCAGGGCTTGTCGTCGCTGTAGTAGCGCTGCTTCATGGCTCGGTATTTCCTCAGGAAGTACAAAGCCTCCAGCTCCTTCATAACAAATTCTCCCCGGGCAATCAGCTGCTTAATTTTTTCAGGATCTGTCTCATCTTTGTTTTTTAGAAAAGCTGCTTTCAAACGGCTTCTGAAGTAGTCGGCTCCTTTGGGATACTCCCTTCCAAGGTACAGCAGCTTGGAGAGAAAAGAATAATGTGTTTTTAATTAACTGAGTGCACAGTGAAAGGGGATTTATTTTCAGGTTAAGGAAAGTGCTGGTGGCATTTAAGACACTTACATTTTTGTACAGTTTTATCACTTCACCTCTTAAAGAATTGGCCATTCTCACATTTCAGTGAACTCTGTCCTTGTGTGATTGTTTTGGTTTGTTTGGGTTTTGTTACCTGAAGGATAATCAGTTTAAAAATTAGCCTTCTCTGGGAGTCAGTAAACCACCTCAGCCTTCCTAAAACTTCCATATCCTACCAAGCCCCGTTTGCTCTAATTCTGGTTGTACTCTGTCTCTTCTTTCTTTCCTACTTTTTATTCTATTTAGTTTCTCATTGTCTTCTCCCCTCTCTCCTCAAACAGAAAATAAACTTCTAATAACTTTCAACAACTGGGACACTTCATGCTGTTCCTTGGTTGCTTTCTCACACCCTTAAAATTCTGCACCTGCTGGCCTGGCTGCTTCTACGGTGTGCTAAAAAACTACATATATATACACATATAAAGTGGTAAAGATATATAAATAGAATACATATTTATGTATTTATAATATATATATAACGTATATATATATATATATAATATGTATATATTAATAGAACAGTGTTTATAATAACATTTTGATGTGTTTATTTTTATGTCCATATGTATTTATGTATTACATATTCCTACATTGTATATATAGGTATATGCATTTTATACATATACATTTCTATTCCTGCAACTGTCACATTCATAAATTTTGCTTTTTTAAGGACTCTTCAAGTGCATTACAAATTGAGTCCAGTGTGCACCGGTAAAATATAAGGATAAGTGACAAAGTAGCTGATTTTTCTTTCTGTAAACACAAAATCACAGAATAGCCTGGGTTGGAAAGGACCTTCAAGATCATCTCGTCCCAACCCCCGGCCGTAGGCAGGGACACCTTTCACTATCCCAGCTTGCTCTGAGCCCCGTCCAGCCTGGCCTTGGACGCTGCCAGGGACGGGGCAACCAAAACCAAATCACAAGCGACTGGAATCCAATCCACCTCCCGCTGCGAGGCCTCCCCGGGCCGCCGCCTCCTCCTGGCTCTGCCTGCCGCCCCGCTCTCCCCGGAGCCATGCCCGGTTTCCCGCGGCTCCCGGCGAGGCCGGACCGGGATCTCACCCGCTCCTCCCGGAACCGCCGCGGTGCCGCTTTACGGCAATGCCGGGAGCGCCGGGCCCGAGCTGCGCTTGCGCGGCCGCCGGGGCTTCGGGCGGGGCTTGTGAGGAGCCGCGGGAGCGTGAGGGGCGCGGGCACCGCCGCAGGGATTGGCATCCTGAGGGACGCGGGCACCGCCACCCTCGGCGGGACATGGTGGGGCCTGGGGTACGGGTTACATGGTGGGATGGGGAAGGATGAGGTGGTGGAGTAAAGCGGGGTATTCCCTGTTAGCTACCAAAGTCCCAGGAGGGAGGAAAAGGCTTTGAGGCTGAAAGAAGCACTTGAAGGACGCATTGTCTTTTGTGAGAGCCCCGATATGAGTCCTTGTGCCGTGGTTTGCTGCTGTGGTTGCTCCGTGTGGAACCAGCCGGGAGGTGGTTCACACTTTGTTGCCAGAATGGCTCCGTGGTAGAAACTAAATTGCAAGAATCATGTGTTAGGCTAATTTTCTGCAATATTGAAATTCTTGTCATTGTAGTTTTTCAATAGATGATCACATCCAATTGTAACGGAATAATAGTAGTTTTGTAATTACTCCTTTCTACCTGATACATTGTTTTCTGATGTTCTCTTTCCCTTTTTTCCCCCTTCTGATCTTCTAGGGTCCAAAAGCAAAAAAAAAGGTAGGTAGGCAGAAACTTGCTGTAGTTCACTGTTGTGTTTATTTTTTTTAATCTGATTTTTTAGTTTTTTTCCCTGAGACAGCTGGCCAGGGTTAATGAATCTGAAGGAGTAAGAGGCGTCTTCAGGACACCAAGCTTTTGTGCCTTTAGCAGGGAAGCCTGCAGTGCTGCTGGAGGGAGCATGGCCAGTGCAGCCAGTGCTTGTTTGGCTTGGCAACGGGTGTCCAGGCAGAGAGGCAGTGTCCTGGCTCCGTCCCAGCCATGAGGTGGCAGCCAGACCAGGGCAGTGACTGTCCCCTGTGCTGGGCACTGGTGGGGCTACACTTCGAGTCCGGTGTCCAGTTCTGGGCCTCTCACTGCCAGATGGACAGAGTGTCTAGAGAAGGGAAGGGAGCTGGGCAAGGGGCTGGAGCTCCAGGTGCAGCTGGGGGTGGGGGTGAGCCTGGAGAAAAGGAGGCTCAGGAGGGATCTTATGGCTCTGCACAACTCCCTGACAGGAGGGGGCAGCCGGGGGAAATTGGGGTCTGCTCCCAGGGAACAAGGGACAGGATGCGAGGAACGGCCTCAGGCTGTGCCAGGGGAGGGTCAGGTTGGACATCAGCAGGAATTTCATCGTGGAAAGGTTTGTCAAGCATTGGAAGGGGCTGCCCAGGGAAGTTTGGAGTTGCTATCCCTGGAGGTGTCCAAGGAAGGCCTGGACATGGCACTCAGTGCTCTGGGCTGGGGGACAAGGTGGGGATTGGGCACAGCTTGGACTTGATGATCTTGGATGTCTTTTCCAACCTGAATGCTTCTGGGATTCTGTTATTTGAGTGATAGGCTAGACACAGAATAAGGGGGATGAAGGGACAACAGGCAGAAGTCCATGGGAAACTGAGTTGCATAAATAACCTGTGGGTTATTCTTAATTCAGTGATAATGAATTTGTCTACCCCTCCCCAGCTGTGCATCTCACTCTTCTCAGTGCTCTGTTAAGTCATAGGAATGTGAATAGAAGTTGACTAAAACATGATTTCACGTAATTGAAACAAGCAGGTTTTCCATTTTCAGTTTGTTTATTTATTTATTTAAGTGAAAAGAACAAATTCTTCCCTGAAATCCTAATGGGTAGAAGTGTGAGTTTTACTGACTCTATTTTGGAATAATTTTGCAAATGAATGCTTTGGTACCAAATGCAATAACATGCACTCAGACTCTGGTAACACTTAATTGTCACCATTGTATTTGTCCCAGCTTCATGGCAATCTCTGTACTCAATGTTGCACTTATATTTTTGCCAGTATATTTATTGCCATGCCAAGTAGTGTGGACTGAACAAGTAGTTATTTATATCTGAATGTGTGATAGTCAAAACCAAAGTGTGAAATAAGTGTGTGTGAAGAAGGAACAGTGGTCAGATAATTTCTGAGAACCTCAAATTTAAAATATAGTTACTCTAGGATTATGCTGGAGGTGAACAGTGAATTGCCTAGAGTGAGATTTTACAATAGAAAAGAGAACTCTTTGCTATTTTGTCTTGTGAATTAGATGCTTCTATATGCCAGGCTTGTCCCAAAATACGTTTTCCAGTATTTTCTAAAATATTTGAAGTTGTAGCATCTACTTTCTTATCAAATCTGCCTGCTAGTCAATTTCTACATTAAGCCAAAAGATTTAAATACTCTCGTGTTGTGCCTGTGTTTGGGGATGTCTAGCATAGAAAAATACATTAATTTTAAGAAATTATCATTAAAAAGAGAAGAAAAAAATTTAGTCCAGAATATGCATTACTATTCTGGGGCCTTCATTGGCTGTCTAGGGAGTCTAAAATTTTAATTGAGGGATGACATTGGAAGGGAAAAGTTACAGAGTTATAGAACTGCCAAACAGTATTAAAATAATACTGACATTTGTTTTCCTCTCCCTTATTGCAAATGTGAAATCCAATGGCAAAAAGGGAAAATCTAAGAAAGAAAAAGAAGCAAAGCTGAAAGGTACTGTGCACTTCATTTAGAGGGAATGTGATGGACAAAATCATTAATTTTAAATAAATGGGCAGAAGGTAACACCCTGAACTAGATGTGAATTGCTATCTCTGTTTCCCAAATGGAAATGTTCTTCCCTCTTTCCTGGTGTGGGCCAAACTCCCTGTTCCTTGATGCTGCATCTCACTTCTCTATCAGAGCAATACTCTTCTCTAGTTACTCCTACTGCAGTTAGGAAGTTGGGAAGAACTTGCCATTAATCCATCCTGGTGGGGGCTTGGGCATGCCTGTGACTGCCAGTGAGTGAGTGCTAATTACTGGTAAACTTTTGTGATGGTAATAGAAGCTCAGGTGGCCACAGGCAGATTTGGGATCTGCTGCTGCTCTTGCCTCAGTGCAGCACACAGTTGACATGATGTACTTGGAGGTGATGACATCAAGTCGCCGTTTGGGAACATCTGGGTTGAGGCACAGGCTGTGCAGTCTGAGGCTGAAGGCTTAGTGCTTGAATCAGTTTTAGTTTTCACGTCCTCTCTAATTTTCTAGTCCCTATGGCAGCAAAGAGAAGCCGGATCTGTGGAGTAGCAGATCCTGATGTGGATTTCAATGAAAACAGCTGTAAAATTGAAATTGTAGGAAACCGGTGGTTGTAGGAAAGAAGAAAAGGAATTTGGGATTAAAACACTGAGTTCCACTCAAGATTTTGGATTGAGAATCTGTGTCCATTGAAGCTGTAGATGGAGAGAGCACTCCTGCTGCTGCACTTACTGGTTCTTGATTCCACTTTTATCCTCACAGACTGATAGGGGCAGTGCCAGAGACTGTGTGTTTTAGTAGTACTCAAATTAATTTGGAGCAATCTTCATATGGGAGATTTCTGTGCAGTGAAAGATAAACATTTATGTTGCTCATTTTATAGTGGTTTTATCATTACAGCTGGTAACCAAATAATTTCTTAGATTTCATTTAGGAAAGCATGGTTATTCCCTTGATCTCTTTCCCAATCCTCAGCTGAAGCCCTATTACGAGCTCAACAAGAAGAAGAAGAGAGACTTGAAAGGGAAAGACTGTATCGAGAGCACTTGGAAAAGCTTGAGGCAAAGGTTAGTTTTTTACTCAATGAAAAAATCTAATCCTGTTCCTAAACTAGAGACAAGGCCTGTAAAACTCCAGTAATTTATAGGAATTCATTTTCTTATGCACTTATTGTTGGGAACAATATTGAGGAAAATTTCCAGTTTTGATAAATTTAAATATATTACTTTTTGTCGTATGTGTTTCTTAAGTTTGGTTAAATGCCATTTTTTTTTTCCCCCATTTCCACTCTGCTTTCAATTGAATGTGTTTTTCAGATTCCCTATGAGGATGTTTGGTACAAATTCCTTAATTGGTTCCCTGTTCAAACAGATACAGTGATTTCTATTTGTATATATATGTGTGTGTATTAGACTATGTATATTTATTTTTCTGAACAGTCTGTCATTCAGAACAAAAACTGATTGATGATAGATAACTATTTCTATGTCTAAAAAGAAAAAAGACATTTACAGCAAACTAATTTTTTTAAGAGTCACTCTTGTCTACTCCTGTTGTACTTCACAGAATATTTTTTCCCCCCTAGGGAGAAGATGACCTTAAAATTATAGAAACTAAAAGGGAAAAAATAAAACTCTCTTTCATGTTTTTTCCAAGTTATGCTTACATTTTTAGCAGCTCCCATTACAGCTGGCTCCAGGATGCTGATATGGAAACTGTTGAAGTGAGAGGTTGCAATCATATGTCACATTATGTTTATCATATGGCTCAGCAGCTACTGTGATGACAATAACATATTACAAACTACTGCAATCTTCTCAATTGGATGTTTCATTAATGAAGCAAGTTTTCAGTGTTTGGATTTATTTATTATTTAAATAATAACTCGTTTAAATGTCCCCAGTTTGTTTCTTCTCTGTAAAATAATTGTAAGAAATAAGTCAAATCTTTGACTGCTGTTTGATATATGTATTTAAATGCTGTTTGATAGATGTATTTTTTTAACAGTATCAAGGAGAGAGGGAGACTGAACTAGCAGAACTTAATTCACTGGAACAGAAGTTTCTTTCTGCACAGCAGTGGAAAATGGATTATAGAGAACAAGCCAAGGTAATCTTTCTTGCCAAAATCTGCCCAGAGGTTTGGCAATGAAGAGACTTCAGGAGCTTCCAGTTCTTGAATGTAGGTGTGTGCTATGACAACATTTTGAATTCCATCTCAAAGCAGTGACAGGCCATGCTCACTCTCTTATTTTCTTTACTTTGGAGCACACAGAAAAGAAATGTGGGCAAAGAGGAGCCTGTTTCGTGATCAAAGTACCAATGTCCCACACCATATCCCAACAGTCAAAAGGAATTGTAATTCCAGATGTACTGGTACCTGTTCTTCCTCTTTTATTTCTTTAATTCATTCTGCTTTTAAGCATTTCACCAAAAAAGTTCTGCCAGGGCTTAAAAAGAAATTCTGTAGAACATTTGTTTCAGTGGCTCCTAGATATGAAAGGTCATGATTCAGAGAGAGAGGTTTGCCAGATTTTTGAAGGGTATGGCACAAACCCAGGTCAGGGCTGGAAAGGTCTGAAAATGCAGCTCAAAGTTGATGTCTGCAGTTTAGGGTGACATCCGTGGTGGTTGTATCATCACCCAATGGCATTATGTACCTGTCAAGTTCAATTTGAGGTGGTAAGGTGTGGAAGTAAGTAGATTTCACTCTTGAGAATCTTGCAGACACATCACTCAGTAACAGTCTGATAATGGCATTTGGTCAGGTAAGGAACCAAAGGTTTAATATCCTATAGGCTTGTGGACACAAGGATTTTGTCTTTGTCTTGTATTATTGCTTAATCCTGTTAAAGTTTCTGTAGAACAACTCCACAATCATAGGATAGCCCATGTTAGAGAGGACTTCCGAAATTCTGACAGTTCAGCCTCCTGCACCAAGCAGGGCAAAGTGTGAAGTAAAATCAAGATGCCCAGTTGGGTTTGAAATATTTAAAAGTTGGAGGTACCCCAACATCTTTGACAGCTTTACCACTCCCACTATAACCATTTCTCTCTGAATGCAATTGGCATTTCCCTGTTACAGCTTGTGATCATTGCCAGCTGTTGTTTGTGGGTGTTTTGTGACAAACTAGAACTATTGATTTTAAAATAAGTCTGATAAAGCACTGATAGATTGTGGGAAATACCAGAGTTTCTTTTAGTCTGTTGTTAAGATTATTTAGGATAAAATAAATACATAATACCAAATACTGAGTTTCCACATCTATTTCTGAACAATTTCAGTTTAGATGAAGACATGCATTTACACCTTACCAAGAAATCTATCCTTTTTCTCAAAAAAAAGTGCTGTTAGTTCTAAGACTGTGATGATAAAAGTGAAGGTCTCTTTTAAGTGTAAAGATGAAAAAAAAAAAGAAATCAGTTGTCTTACTACTGAAAATTGATCAGTCTTCTATACAGGAGTTTCCAGTGTACTCAGCACTTCCCTATTGTTGCTTTGTTTGAAGTCAGTGGGAATGCTGGTGGAAGTGGTTAGGAATGCAATCCTTTAAGTGCTTTTCCTTTAAAAGATCCATTTTCCTTTGCAATGCAGTTTTCAGTAACATGGGATTATTAATCTTCAGCAAACAGGGGGGCAATCTTTTCTTAATATCCTATTCTATGGATGAAAAAAAATCCATTACGGGTGATAAATTGATCCCATGAGCCAATGTTAGGCTTATGTTTGGCATTAAGTGGGTTTAGTCTGCCACTGTTTTTTTCTTTTCACCTCTTATAGGAATGACCAAGAATTGATTTGAAAATAAAATTATTTTTAAAAAGCCCTCATCTAGGATTTCACATTTCTACTAGAGGTTTCTGCAACAGGAGAATTGATGCTGGTAAGAGAGAGGAAATCTCCTTCAGAGGCAGAGAAAGGAGGAGTAAATATTGCAGTAGAAGCTCTTAATCAACTTCATTGCCAGTGTAGGAATTTTCAGTTTTCTTGGCAGAATCTGATCTGAGACCTGCCTCTTCCACCTGCACCTTCCTCGTTTCTGTTCTCAGTCATTTTATTCTTCCAGTCCCTCCCTTGTGGCAGGTACTGAATTCATTGCTTTTGTGGAACAGAGCACAACGCACTGATAAACAGGTATAAACACCAAGTGTGAGTTGGGCAGAAGCATCTTAACACATTAATGTCAAAGTAAACCTTTTTTTCCTGGCATAGGGATAATAAACCAGGTGGTGTTAGAATCCTGTTTAGATGCAGGTGTGAATTTGTCACTATAATATAGCTGTCTTTCAGAATCCTCCTTTTCCTTGTAATAGCAGTGTGCAGCACACCTGTATCCACTTTTCTCTGGACTCTTCTGCAGTGGGAGCACTACCTCAGCTGTGATGGGACTCCTGACCCCACTGTACCTCAGGAAATCAACACTTTCATGAGCTTGTGGCGTGATGACCAAGATGAGGACATTCAGCTTGTGATGACGAAGGAGGAAGTAGTGTTAAATGTAAATAATGGTGTATTTCAGTTTAAGCTTAGCATATCCTTAACAGCCCGCTCTAACTCTGTTTTCCCTTTTTTGTGGCCAAATAACTGAAAGACCTTCAACACCTAGAAGCTTTTCTTCAATTTTTCTATTTTTCTTAAATTACAGAGCTGTTGTTAATCCTGAAGAAGTTGTGTATTGACTTTCAATACGCATTCAAGGGATTTGTGTGCTGTGTTTCTACACTGAGGTCTAGCATTCCAACATCCATATTCCCTTCCATTTTAAACCAGAGCATACACGCTCATGTCAGATATAAATGCTTTGGTGGACAACAGCCTCATTTTGTAACACTTGAACCAGTAAAATGTCATGTAAGAGCAAAAGTTCCCAGAATTTATTTTTACTAACAGAAGCCATTGATCGCTTGTGAAGCAATTTTAAGCAATCTGTGCCTGCTCTGTAAATTTAGGATTTTATTTTCATTTATGCTGACTTTATGGTGTTTTTCAGAAAGTTAAATGGGGTCTTCTGGAAACTGGGGGTAAAGTTGCATGTGTAATACAGGTTTCATTGGTTTGGTTTGATTCTGAGTTAGATTTCTTACCTGTCTGGGAAAAAAAAAAAAAGTTATTTTAAGGATGGTGTCAAAACAGATACTTTTCCCATGTAAATGTTTTTTAGTTGATTGAGAAGTTGGAGTTTCTTCTGTTGGAGGCATCACCAGAAGAGGTCACAGACAAACAAAGAGACCAGTACCAGGAAGTTATTCTGCAATTGCAGGATCTGCTTCATCAGAAGTACAATGATGCTACCCAGAACCTGCTCAAAGTGAGATGTGCTGCTTCAAAGCTGTGATATGTGCACATAAGTTAGCTCCAAGTGTCCTTTAATGATGGTTGGCTCTGTTTGGTCCTAAGCTGTCACAGAGATGAGTCTGTGAGTTTCCAAACCATGTTTATAGCACTCACCAGACTTTGTAATTACTCAAAACTCCTGAAAATCTGAACTTTACAGTGGAAAATCTCACCATTAAGTCAGACAAGAATAAACTACTGGGAAATTTTGTGACACTTGGGGATGATGAAACCAAGAGGTGCTGTATGAAATTTGTTGACTGTATCAGAAAATGTAGATGTGAAAAGCAACTCTTAAGGTTTCCTTGTACACTTTTTTTTTAATACAAGTTCATGTAATTAAAATATTTTCGAAACTAAGATCTTGGGAAGGGTGAAGAGTAGTCAGACAAGGAAATGAAATTGTGCTGGAGAGTCAGTTTTCTGAGCTGCATGTGTAGGTAGTGACCTTGCTAATTCACTAATTCATTAATTAATTTCATTAATTATAAATATATAAATATGTAAATTATATATATAATATAAATAATAAATAAATATATAATATATAAAGTATGTTGAGCAAGGGAATATTAGTGAAATAGTGAACCAGTTGTATATGCACAGTCAAAACCCCCTGCAAATTAAGAAATGTTGAATTTTTGTTTACGGAATTTAGGATTAAGCTCCCAATAGAATTAATATTTCACAAGTTTGGTGCTGCCTAAATGATAAAATAATCTGTACAGTGTATCTGGAGTAGGAGTCCATTATTACTCAGTAAGTCCTTTTTTTGTTTGTTTTTTATAATTTACCCTGAGAATTAGGGAAATAATGCAAGAACCCATATTTGGCCGTACTTGGCTCACAGAATTTATGAAGTCAGAGAAAAAAAAACAATGTAGTTCAAACTTTAAGCAACAGATTTGAGTTTATTACTGTTGTGCTTTAATATATAAATACAACACAGCTGGACATGGTCTTTTCATTTTTACATGTATTTCTTTATTTATTTATTCAAGTAAACATAGGTGAATCAAAGTGAAATAAATAACATATGATTTAATTGGCTTTTTTCTTTGTAGATAGCTAGTATGTATGAAGATTCTGAAACTGGGAATATGCACACAGTCCTAAAGGATAAAAACATTACTTTCTGTATTTGGGTCAATCTGAAGAAGAAAGCAAGGTACAGCACACTGAAATTATTGATTTGAAATGAGACCTGGCTTTGTTGAGTAAACACTAAGAATCAGTTTCTCATAATTTGTTGTTGTTGTTGAATAGCATCCATTCTGCAGATTCTCAGTGCTGGCTGCTGGTAAGAGTGGTTTAGAGATATATAAATTTCTTTATTAAAATGCAGCAGCAGAACCCTGTCACTGCCAGAACAAATTTGGAAGAAAAACAGTAAAGCTCATGCAGAGAATTGAAATTCCTCTGGAAGCAGTGTTTCTTGCTGATGCATTTAATATTTTCTAAGTTATTCCAGTTTCTTGCAAAGCAGTGAACGATACTTTGTACTCAGTTAAGAGAAAATACTTTAAAGCCTGGGATGCACTGTCATTTCTGAATCTAAGTTTTGTGTTTTTATTGGATTACCATATAGATGGTACATTTTCAAAATGAGATTTTTGAGCAGACTTCCTACTCCCACTCCATAAATGTAAGGAATAAGTTATTAAAAGGACTTTAGCTTGACTAAAGACCTGTTGCTGTGAGTTTTGTTCAGATAAGTAGAAGGGTGGGTGCTGAGCAGTGTCAGACTGACCTGCAGGAAGAACCCATATGGATTAAGTGTTAAAGCCTTCAGCCCAGCAGAGAGATTCACTTAAAAATATTCAACCAACAATTAAAAGCTAAGTGTTGCTTTACTGGAAGATTTTTAGAACTTGTGACTAGCTTATCTTATTCAAAAGCAAGTATTACTTGAATTATTTTGAAAGGTGCTGAGAGTGATCTAACACAGACAGCTGTGCAGGAATTTTCCCAATAAATTAGTCAGTTTTCCCAGGAATGTAGTTTCTAGAAGAACTGCCATCTGATCCTGCCTTATTGTCATCCCGTCAAGATTTATTTTTGAAACTTCTGATCCCCTTGATGCAGTTGTGGCTTTGCTGGAGGGTCTTACAGACAGCTGCCAGCACAAGCACCGTGACATCCCACAGCATTTCTCAGATGCTGCAACAAATCCTGGAAGAGATTTGACCATTTGTGAGGAAACACCAAATGAAGTGCTGCCAATCTTACCAGGCCCTGTTGCTGTTGTCACTGCCCTTGCCAGGTTCAAGGACCATGTGTTCCAGGAGGCAGGGCATGGCTTTGAGCTGCCCAAATCCTTGGCTCTGAGCAGCGTGGCCGTTCGTGTGCTGCACACCCACTACGACCACTTGTCTCCCCTGTGGGTGCAGTGCCAAGGGCTGCCGAGGCAGGAGGCCTCAGACAGCATGGAGTTAGCTGAGCATCCAGAAGACACTGGGCAAGGACCAGGAGAGGAGGAGGAGAAAGGCAGGGAAGAACCCAATGTGCCTGCTGCAGAAGAAACGGGTTCTAAGGGGAGAAAGGTAAGTAAAAACCTCCTCAGAAGATACCCTACACTGCAAGATATTTCTGTAAATTTCTGGCATATATAGATTAATGAATTCTGCTTCTGCAAAACTGACAGCCCCACAAAATCCCTGCAGGAATCCCATTTTAGGGAAATTTGCAGCATTCAGGCTAAGATTCAGAGTTCAGCAGGTGTTGGCTGTGCAGGTGTCTGGCTGTTCCACGGCTGTGTGCTGACCTTTGCTGTTAGAGCCTTTTCAAATATGATTTCTGGCTGCCTGTCCTCTTCCTCAGTTCTCTTCCATGGAATATGTTGGCTTTAGGTGTGATGGAGGTTGCTTGGTTTTGTGTTGTCCATACTGCATTTGGAGTTTTCACCCTGTGTATCACCTGTGACTTGCAGACAAATGCCCTCTCTTCTCTAGCTAAAATTATGCAGAAATAACTGACAAAACATCAAGTTATAGGCATTTTTACTATATTTGGAGCAATTTCATGGGATAATATGAGTGGAAAGGGACCCACAAGGATCCTTGAGTGCAACTCTTAAATGAACAAATTCTGAGATCCATACAGGGATCAAATGGGGATCAAACCTCTGTTCATGATCATGGCTTTTCTCCTGTTCAGTCCCCAACACCTTTGTAATGAATCAGTGCTTGAAACCCTGCTTCTTTTGGTTCCTTTTTTTCTTTTTTTTATATGACAGATTTTGGCACTTTTCACCTACATTTCCTAGACTTTCTCTAAGCTGCTTCATTTTATTACCTCTCTTTTTCTTTCCCAGGTCTTGGCACTCTTTCTCTCAGTCCATTTTGTGAATTTTCCTCTTCCCTCTCCAGCTCCACTTCTCTCAGCTTCTGTCCTCTCACCTCCTGTCCTGTTTGAGGAGATGTGTGTTCTTTCCACATGCTGGCAGGTACAGCCAGGGCACAGAAGGTGCTGTGCCTCCAGAGGAGTCTGCTGTGGCAAGGATGTATCCCTGTCTGCGCTGGATATTTGTCTGGAAATCCAGGGGAATGTTTCTCAGCGTCCCCTGTCTGGCTCCCCACATTCCTGTGTGTAATTACTGTGAAATACAGTGTGAAAGGGAATAGATATCGTGGGCCAGGCACAGGCCAAAGCTGCAGATGGGGTTCTGGCACAGTTTCAGTGTTGGTTTGGATTCAGCCTTGACTTACATTTTACTTTGTGCCACTCTGCTGGCTGTAAAATCATCAAAAACCACAAGTTTTGAGTGCATACTCTGCTGAAAAAGTGTTGGGTGCTTGTTTGGTACTCAGGGAGCTCAAGATGGAATTTGCTGTGGAAATGAAGTAATTACTTTGTGGTTATCTCTAAATCCAGTTCCAAATCAGAAAGTACTTTTACTCAAAATATTTTTGATAGCTAGGTAGAAATTATTTCTCTTAAAACCTTGACCCTGCAGCAAGATTGGTACAAATGTTTCTGTATCCCTTCTCCTTGGGCCTTCTTGAAGGAGGTGATACCTTCTTCATTGTGTTTGTCTCTGACTAATGGAAAAATGTCTCTTGTTTTTGTCTAGGAGAGTTTCACCTCACTGAAAGAGACCAGCAATAACACAGATGATATAAAAGAGACAGAGGAGGAGACTGGGAAGAATTCAGACATTTTGGATGTGCCGTCGCAAGGTATTTGGTTATTTTTTAAGTGCAGCATTACAAAAGTACTTAGGCTAAGTATTTTATGTGTTAAAAATTGTTCCCTGTGAGTGTGGGGAGGCCCTCACAGAGGTTGCCCAGAGAAGCTGTGGCTGCCCCATCCCTGGAAGTGTCCAAGACCAGGATGGCTGGGGCTGTGAGCAACCTGGGATAGTGGAAGGTGCCCAGGGGGCTGGAACCTGACTTAAAGGTCCTTTCCAACCCCGGCCATCCCATGAGCTATGGAAACACTGCAATATCTCCATGTGAATGGAGCAAAGTTTATAAATATAGGGATGTTTTGATAACATTTGGGTTTTGTTGACATTTCTGTTAATGATTCCTAAATCATGTGGAGAGATAACAGGACAGATAGGAAAATGGAGTTTGTCCCCACACTTATTTTTATTTATTTATTATTTATGCTTAAACATGTTTATCATGTTTATATAGATAGGTGTATTATTATACATATGTTTATGTGAGACATACAGTCTTTATGAATCTGCCAGGCTCTGGGGAGATCTACTTCCTCAGAAAATTATAATTCCAATGCATATCATGGTAGGCATTGGTGTAGTGTGGGGTGTTGCTGAGTATTACCTGAATGGGTGCTTAAAGTGAGAGGGCCTGATTGTAGGAAATAAAACTGTTTGTCTGTCCCACGTAAGTTACAAATTTCTCCAGTATGGTGGTGTTGTCCTTTGGTTTAATAAGAGTGAGTTTTCTTGTGGTACTAGCTTAAATAAAACAACTGCAAACAACTATTAGCATAGTTTAGCTCCACTTTACAGCCTTTTTATTCTGGTAAAAAAACAACAAACCCCACCTCACAACACTTTGGACTGAGCACAATCCAGAGAACCAGTTGTCAGACTAGACCCTAAAAGCAAGGTTTTCAAAAGAACATAAAGAACTTGAAGACTTGGGCCTCATGTGGAGGAATTTGTATTTTATTTCTGTCAGGCTTTGAAAACCCCTACCACAGTATTAGGTGCAGTGGATGTGCACAGATGTGCACAATTATACCTGAGTGTTTTCCAGCTTGTTCATCTGTTTTAATAAGGAAAGAAGGGAAAAACTGCTTTTTCTGGCATGCTCATGATTTGCATACTCTTTCAATCACTTTTGAGAATAGCAGTGAGAGGATGCTCAGTTATCTTAAGTTCAAAACAAGGAGCCAGGTAAATGAGGGTTAAAAACCAGAAATGCAACAACAGAGAAGAGTGGCAGTTTCTCTGGATTTACCCTTATTGTGCCACTGTTAAGGAGATGAATTACCTTGCGACAGTAAATAGTTTCTTTAGAAGACACTTACATATTTTTGTATTATTGTTTAAAAAAACAAGTTAAAGTGTAAGCTACCACTGTAAAATGCACTAAAATGTTTTTTTGCTGCTTGGTAAGTTTGTTGTTCAGAACAACTGTAAAAGGACATTATGGTGGTGTGTGATACAGTAGAGTAAGACCTCTACAGAATGTAACTAAATCTGATATTAAATTAACACCATTTTCACTTTCATTTTTTTTAAAGCTTGAAGACAATTTATAGAGAGCGTTCTCATTTTTTGATACAGTCTTATTTTCTCAGAGCAAATTTCATAACAATTACAGTAGTTGTTTTTACAGTATTGAACACTTTTTTCTTGATTCCTGTCAACAATAACTTCTCTCCTCCTGTACCATCCCATGTGATGTTTTATGTGGGCTGGTTTGGCTTTTTTAAAGAAAATATTTATGGGCATATTTTCCACAGTGTTTCTGCCTTTTACTAACATTTTCCAACTAATTAAGCCATAAGTTCATATATTTGTGATATATACGTAATTATGCATAGGAAAAAAAGGAATTATCTTTGTTATCTGAAAATTGTGTTTCGTGTTAAATCCTCTTGCTCTTCCTAATTACCATTTCTTTCACCTTCAGCACATGACTTCTTAGTGTCTTATTTTTATATATCTCTTTATTTGCTTCATTTCTTTGCATATCAATACAATCTTACTAAACCTGTCCAGAATCTACTGTATTATTGTGCTTGTGAAATTCTTCTATGGGCTCATTTTGTCTGTCAGTAAAACCTTATTCCCATAGAAAGCATTTGGAACTGGCTACAAATCCAAAAGCTCAGCCCCAGTCCAGAAGTGCTTTTCATTGCCCAGGTCTCTGCCTGTCCTCATGTTTCAGTGAGTGTTGAGGAGCACCAGCAGATGGGGCTGAAATGCTGCAGAGTGAAACACTTCCAGCACAGAGTGAACATCAGGAGAGGGGGAATGTCGGTGAGTTTGAGCACCCAGTTAACTCCTGCTGTCTGCTGAATTTTCCAGAAGAGGATTCCCTGCTGCAGGAGGAGCCAGGAGGCAAAGAAGAGGCACCACAAATTGTGGATTTGGAGCAGCTGGTGCCCGTGGGGGGTGTGTACCACATCTCTGCCCTGCAGCTGCCACCCCAGGCCCAGGACGTCAGGGACTGGACCATGGTGGAGGTGAGGGAGGACAGGGATCAGCCCCTGGTGCCCCTGAGGAGCTGCTCCTGAGGTTTGTCACTGCTGTCACATGCACTGCACACGAGTTCCTGAGCAGCAAACTAACCAGGCAAGGTTTGCAAATCATCAGTTTTTCATGTTGAAAGGTAAAAGCACAGTGGTACAAGAAATCACTACTGGTTCACCTCCAGGCTCTTCAGGCTGGTTGAGGGCTGTGGTCACTGGGTTCTGGTTTCCTCTAGCACTGACCTACCCCACAGATGGCACTGTGGAAACCTCTAATAAGCAAAATTCCCAAAAAGCCAAACTCAGAGGGCAGGACTGTGTTAGGAGAAGAGGCCCAGGATGTTCATTCCCAGCCCCTGTGACCTCTCCTTCCCTCTGGCACTGTGGGGACAGAGTGAAATTACACCTGCTTTTGCCTCCTGTGCCCCTGTCTGAGGCTGGGGATCTGTGAGAAATGGCTGTGCCCATGCTGTGGCCCTGCCTTGAGGGTGCCTTCAGCAGCACAGGAAGGGGTCCAAGGCCTCCAGGTAGCTGCTCTTCTACTGCCTTCAAAGCTGTACTTGGAAATGTGCAGTATTAGCAAACCATTTTAAATGGTGTGTTAAAAGGCTTTACACTGATTAGATGAACTCAAAGAAAAAAATCACCCTGATAAACCCCTTATCTGTCCTTTTCCTCTCTTGCCAAAGCTGCTGGATGTTGGATTGGAGGTGTATCCATATTCCTCAGGAGAGGCTGAAGATGGCACACAGGAAGCAGTACAGATAACCCTGAGGCTCCCTGATAATGTGATTTATTTTAAAGTGCCTGTACTAGCCCGATGGGATCCTGCAGGTTTTTTGTTACTACTTTGTTTGTTTTACTTCAGCATTACTGCCAGAAGCCTTCCATATATGTCTTTCCATTCTCTTTGTCCAGGCCAGCAGTGGAGAACTGATGGCATCAGCAAGATAACCTATGAAGCAGAAGAAAAGAGCATCACCTTTAGTATGGGTGCCTTTTATACAGTAGCCCTTCTCCAGGATGCTCATCTGAACCTGCCCTATCAGGCCTGGGAATTGCATCCTACTGGTGTGGATGAAGGACTCTTCACAGTTACTGCAGTCTTTGCAACCATTCAGATACAAATTAAGGTACTGTCAATAATTTTTTAATCAAACATTTTCAGATAAAAAAGCCCCATAATTATTGTCCCTGATTAAGAATTTGGGATGCTTCCACAAGAGCAATTTGAATCTCTTCCTTTCCAAGCACTGCACTGGTTATTTAATTTCTGTTATTTACTATGAGAAATAGTACATTTCACATAGAAATGTGCATTTGCTCTGGAAAGTTTCAGTCAGTGCTTTGCTGCTGGTTTTGCCTTGCTGCATTCAAGCCTATTCCACCTGTTAGAGAGCTCAAAAGTGTGCATTTGCTCTGGAAAGTTTCAGTCAGTGCTTTGCTGCTGGTTTTGCCTTGCTGCATTCAAGCCTATTCCACCTGTTAGAGAGCTCAAAAGTGTTCCCCTCTCCTCCCAGCTCTACCAAGAGAAATACAGGGAGTTCTAGCAGCCTACCACTAATGCTCCTTGTTCTCAAAGTTCAAGCTACTCATGATTATCCATCTGTTCATTGTGTATAAATGTCACCAGTGTCATTTCTGAATTCCTACACAAAGCTGGCTTTCTTCAGGACCTGTAAATGAAAGGTCACAGCCCAGAGTAACAGATTATGTGGGTAATACCCAGCATAGCAAAAATACCAATATTTGAAACCTACACCAGAAAGGAGCTTCCATGACCAGTAAGTTGCTTTCACTGGTTTGTACAACAGGATAATCAGTGTATGTTGTCTTCAGTAGTGGTGGAGGAGGAGGAGGTGCTTTCCCACATCACAGGAAAATGGATGAGTCCTTTTGCCCTCAGAGAAGCTTTGAAAAGAGCTGGAGTGAACATTTTCCCAGCAGAGTACTCTCCCAAGTATGTCCCTGTGCCCAGAAAGGTGAGTGCCAGAGAGGTTCCTGGTGGTTTTTCCCCATTTTTCCCTCAGGTCACCCTTTCCTGCACTGGGAGCTGCTGTGCTGCCAGCTGAGCCAGGGACTGAGTAAAGCAGGCTCTGGCACTGCTGTAACTCAGGGAAATAGAGAGATCTGTTTGTTTGATTTGTACTTGTGCACTGCAGGCTGCCCGGGCAGAAGTGAAGGCCTATGAACAGATGGCTCTGCTTGCAGCTGCTTTTGCTATGCTTTTGCTCACAGCAAGTGGAATAAAGAAGCAGGGCCAGAGAAAGTCGTGTTCAAGGTTTGTGGAGTCCCACAAAATTTCCAGAGCAGACCAGCACTGATCCCTTCCCCAGTTAGAGACAATTAACTCACCCGTGGTGGCTTCAGCCCCTGCCTCAGTTCAGTGTCACAGACTGCACCTGAGAGCTCTCAGGGGACACAAGTCTCAGCAACAAAGACACTTGCTAAGGAAAATGGAACTGGTAAGTCACCAAGGGAGGCTTAGCCAGAGCTGGGGTGACAGAGCTTCATGCTCTCTTCAGAGGCCCCTTGAAAATCAGCTATCTCTCTGCCAGCTTTTTAAAGAACAGCTTCTTCCTGCCTGTAGGGTTTCTTTTGCTCCCTACTGCAAAGGAGGGAATAAGCAACCTCTGTTGGCTTGTCTCCACCTGTGAACTAAAATATGGTTAAAACTTCTCCCAGACAGACAGACATTCCCACAAACAAACACATGTGGCTAGAGAAAGGTAGCACACCCCACTGCTGAAAGCTGCAGTGGCTTTCTCACTCTCAGGTTAAATGCATGTGACACACAAATATTAGAATTTGTACTCTGACAATGGCACAGGCTTCACCTCACAGTGCATTTTTTCCTGCAACAGGTAAGCGAACATCTCACAGCAGGTTCTGCCAAAGACAACGACTGGGCCCTTTTTATGTTCAGTGGTGAGAAAGTACAAAACCTCAAGCTCACTGAAACCAGTGAGCCTTTTTCAGAAGAGCTGGAAGAAGAGTCTGAATTTCACTCCACACTTTACCATATGCTCAAGGATTCTGCCAGCAATGAAGCCATGGATAAAGTGGAAAGAGCTGGCTTCCTGTTTATTGATTCTGTGTATCAGCTGCTTCTTGTTACCAGAGTCTTAGCATACTCTTAGTTACTGCATGCTTTCCTTCAAAACTTTATTATCAAAAGCTTTCAATAAAGTTACATTTCAAGTCTTAAACCCTTTTCTATTCAAATCATTGACACAGGTTCTAAAATGCAAACATTTTATCTTTATTCAAGCAAAATAAATTCTTTATTCAATTGTGCCTAGACCACCTAGACATGTTTATTGTTACCGACATTCATGTATCAGCTGCTTCTTGTTACCAGAGTCTTAGCATACTCTTAGTTACTGCATGCTTTCCTTCAAAACTTTATTATCAAAAGCTTTCAATAAAGTTACATTTCAAGTCTTAAACCCTTTTCTATTCAAATCATTGACACAGGTTCTAAAATGCAAACATTTTATCTTTATTCAAGCAAAATAAATTCTTTATTCAATTGTGCCTAGACCACCTAGACATGTTTATTGTTACCGACATTCAAAATTGCTATCCTATTGTAAACCTGAACAGAACTGAGACCCTTTTAGCTACTTTTAAAGATGACTTTTGTCAGAATGGGATTTTTTTTTCTTTCATTTCAAGTCATGCTTTAAAGAAAAAAACTTCATTTCCCCCTAAAAATACCCACAACCCAACAAAACAAATCCAGACATGTAACCTGAAATAACGGCAGCTTCAGCTCCCGTCCCGCAGGGCATGGCAGCGCAGCCCCGGCAGCAGAGCCGGGGTTATACCGGGGGAGGGCCGTGGTGGTGCAGTCCTGTGTAGGGCCACAGCAGCTGCTGCAGCGACCTCCAGGAGTCCCCAGTGCCCACAGGGGCTGCATCTGCTGGCCTCTGCAGGGACAGCCCCGTCAGGAGGCTCGTGAGAGCAGCCAGCAGGACCAGCATGGACACGGATACCCAGAGGGTTTTGTTGGCGTTGCAAAAAGAAGCCTTGAAGTGGGACACCCATGCTGACATCAAATTGTACCTGGGCAGGGCAGGAAAGCACAGAGCCCTTTAGTGTTTCCCCAAAACATGCAATTTTTCTTCTTGTTACCAGAGTCTTAGCATACTCTTAGTTACTGCATGCTTTCCTTCAAAACTTTATTATCAAAAGCTTTCAATAAAGTTACATTTCAAGTCTTAAATCCTTTTCTATTCAAATAATTGAAACAGGTTCCAAAATGCAAACATTTTATCTTTGGTTCAAACAAAATAAATTCTTCATTCACTTGTGGCTAGATCACTTAGACATGTTTTATAGAACAAAATTGGTGTTCTTTTGTAAACCTCAGTAGAACTAAGATCCTTTTAGCTACTTTTAAAGATGACTTTGGGCAGGATGGGAAAAAGATTTTTTTTCTTTCATTTCAAGTCATGCTTTAAAGAAAAAAACTTCATTTCCCCCTAAAAATACCCACAACCCAACAAAACAAATCCAGACATGTAACCTGAAATAACGGCAGCTTCAGCTCCCGTCCCGCAGGGCATGGCAGCGCAGCCCCGGCAGCAGAGCCGGGGTTATACCGGGGGAGGGCCGTGGTGGTGCAGTCCTGTGTAGGGCCACAGCAGCTGCTGCAGCGACCTCCAGGAGTCCCCAGTGCCCACAGGGGCTGCATCTGCTGGCCTCTGCAGGGACAGCCCCGTCAGGAGGCTCGTGAGAGCAGCCAGCAGGACCAGCATGGACACGGATACCCAGAGGGTTTTGTTGGCGTTGCAAAAAGAAGCCTTGAAGTGGGACACCCATGCTGACATCAAATTGTACCTGGGCAGGGCAGGAAAGCACAGAGCCCTTTAGTGTTTCCCCAAAACATGCAATTTTTCCCACCCCACCCCAAAAAGTCTTGGAGCAAACTAGATCCCACAAATCCCACAACCATCAATAGTGACAAGTTGTTACTGTTTTGGGAGCTGTGCAGGGGAGCTTCTGTTCAGAGTTTAAAATACAATCAAGGAAGCAAATTCTTGATAAGCTGGCCCAGCTCACCCGTCCACCCATGCTCCCTGTTTCTCACACTGGGTTCCCAGAGAGCATTTCCCAGCCATGGTCACTGCCTGCAATGGTCAAAGGAGAAAAGATCCCAGGAAAGCCACAGCATCTCTACTTGCTTCTTTTCCCTACCAAGTACCCTGGAGTGAGTGCAGTGACCCCCAAGGATGGAGAGAGGCTTTGGATGAGGCAAAGAGACTTGAGCCCATTTTCCAGAATGATGCTTGTTTGAAGGTTTGTCCAATATTTGATGCTTTTGTGCATTTCACATGTGGTTTTTTATTTTTAATGGATGATTGAGTTCTAGGACACTAAGCTTAAAATTAAAAAGGCATTTCCTAATGTATGGCTTTTTTTTTTTTCCATTTTGTTTTGTGGAAAAAATTTCATGCTTTGTACTTCAGGATACACAGAAGCTCTGTTGACCCTCCCACACCAAGCAGTCCAAGTGCACAGTAGTTAATTAGATTAGTTGTTGTGTGAAGAGTAATACTTAAATCTGTTGGTGCTTCTATTGATACACTCAAAATTTGGTGTTCCAGTGTACCTGGAGCTTTGGCCACACTTGTGGAGATGTAAAATAAGCACTTGGATTACTCTGGACATGTATGGGAAATGTATTTTAGGAGAAGCCCCTGTGAACAAATTGCTGTTCTGCCATAGATCTGCAGTAGTGCTGGGTTTGGCAGAGCGCTTGAAGGGTTCGTGAGAGCAGAGCAGGGAATGGGCAAGTCAGCTCCAGTAGGCTGATGTCTGTCTCCTTACAGTTACAGAATATAATAGAAATGTAACCCAGCTGTAAGCCTAAAGCCTGTGGCAGTAATTAATAGCAATGACTGTACTTTTTTATCTCAAGGTCATTGGCAAGCATGGAACAAGAACTGACCCAGAACTTCATGTTGGTGCCCTGGCAGACAGAGAAGCAGCAAAAGGTGTTGGGAGAACTTCTATGAGTCCCTGTGAGATCATGATTTTCTTAAAAACTTCAAAATTAGTCTGAAAAGGAAAACAGGTTTTTTTTTTTTTTACCAAAAAAACTCACATGGAAAGTGTTTCAAAGATGATTTGATGAGAGATTTGTTGAAACATAGAAATATGCTGATATGTTCTCAAACCTTTCCCCTTTCTCCCACCGTGGGGGACAAAGGCAGAGAGAGTGAGCAGCCTGGAGCAGGAAAAAAGCACTGTGGGCGAAGGGACCTCCCTGGTGTCACCAGGGCGCCTGTGGGGAACAGAAGGGACACTCTGGGGACAACAGGGAGGTGAGGGGCAGAGTTCCCTGGAATTTGGCTGATTTCATCCCCCTGAGCCTGGGTCCAGTTGATATTTTAAGGTAGGAGAAGGCAGTTGCCAGATGCGCTCCCAGCCCATACTGAGGCAGCTCCTGTGCCCAGGACAGGACCTATCTCCCTGCAGAAGCTGAGTCCATTTCAGAGCCTCAGCAGTGCCTCTGCAAGTTCTTTTCCCTCAGGAAAGGGATGTACACCCCTGCTTTCAGCACATCTTCAGTGGGAAAGCTTTCCATCGGTTCTGTGGTTCCAGCTGGCTCCCTGAAAAACTCCAAACTTAATGCAAACAAAACTTCATCTGACTCTAACCTTTTATTTTAAGGCATCTCCAAGAGCATTGCTTGGGGTTTAATTTCTGTGAGGGAAGAGTCCCTTGACTTTAATGCTGCTGATGGATGATGTCCCCAGGCTAGAAGGGAAGGGGTTTGGGACACCTGGGGGTGTGTGGGAGCTCCGAGAGGTCGTTACCAGGAATTGCTGTCTGAGCCCCTCCACAAACACACCGTGCTGACATTCCCACGTTATGCCAGCTGTTCCTCGGGGTCATTTTGGGGTGTCAGTGGGGTCTGTCCGGGCTGAAGCATCTCTGGGTGCCTGTTCAGAGCAGTCCCTGGCTGAGGAGCCATGGGCAGCTCTTCATCCACATCCATCCCAGTGCTGCCCAGGCATCCCAGTGACCATTCCCAGGATGTGTGTGTGGCATGCAGCCTGCCACAGGCAGAGCACTGAAGTACAGCTTCTCCCCTGCAAATACCGAGGACAAAAGGTGCTGCTTCCCTTCCTGGGGCTCCCAGACTCCTCCTGCCCTGCATTCCCAGCCAGCTGGGACACACTGAGGAAACACCAAGGAACATTCCTGGCAGGGAGTGGGAGTCACCAAGGTCTCCATGCAGCTCTGGGCCAGGAAAGTGGCCCCAGCCTCAGCACCTGCAGTGATTTTGGGCTGTGAACACTCACCTGCAGGAAACACCCCTCTGCAGGTGGGACCAGCCCTGACACTCTCCAGAACAACTTTGGCCATGGACCGAGTGATCCCTCAGGACTTTTCCTGCTCATTTCTCCCTGGAAAGGGACATGGAATGAGCATCATTTACAGCGGTTGGGTAAATCCTGAGAAGGGCAGGAAACTAGCGTTACTGGAAGAGTTTTGTGCTGTCATGTCAGGTACCAGCCAGTTCTGCTCTAGAGCCAGTCTAGGGGCTGGTGTGTAAAGCAGCATTAGCAGGAAAGAAGGAGCTATGTTTGCATAGGATTTCCCTTGCTGGCAGCAGCCATTCCCATCCCAGGCAGGACCTTCCCCATGAGCCTGAGACTGACTCAGGTGCTTGGAGCAGGGTGCTGACAAGGCCAAGATTCTGAATTCAATCTCCACATGGATCAATCACTTATCACTGTTTGACTTGTCGATCCTCGTGGCTCCTTCCAACTCAGAATCGCCTGTGCTCCAGAAATAAAGAGCAAACCGTTTTCACTGGCTTTTTAAACCCACGGGATTTCCCATTTTGTGGAGTACGAGCCACAGAGAAAGTGGGGGAATTGAGGGAGAGCATCAAGTCTCACCCAGCAGGTGTTGGATGAGCGGCTGGAGCAGGACCGAGCCATAGCGGGGCTCCGGTCCCACACCGGGCGCAGTGCCCGCCCCTGAGCGGCTCCTCCCGCCCGCGGAGATCCCGGTTCTCACCCCAGCCCAAATCCTGGGAAAGGGACATGGAATGAGCATCATTTACAGCGGTTGGGTAAATCCTGAGAAGGGCAGGAAACTAGCGTTACTGGAAGAGTTTTGTGCTGTCATGTCAGGTACCAGCCAGTTCTGCTCTAGAGCCAGTCTAGGGGCTGGTGTGTAAAGCAGCATTAGCAGGAAAGAAGGAGCTATGTTTGCATAGGATTTCCCTTGCTGGCAGCAGCCATTCCCATCCCAGGCAGGACCTTCCCCATGAGCCTGAGACTGACTCAGGTGCTTGGAGCAGGGTGCTGACAAGGCCAAGATTCTGAATTCAATCTCCACATGGATCAATCACTTATCACTGTTTGACTTGTCGATCCTCGTGGCTCCTTCCAACTCAGAATCGCCTGTGCTCCAGAAATAAAGAGCAAACCGTTTTCACTGGCTTTTTAAACCCACGGGATTTCCCATTTTGTGGAGTACGAGCCACAGAGAAAGTGGGGGAATTGAGGGAGAGCATCAAGTCTCACCCAGCAGGTGTTGGATGAGCGGCTGGAGCAGGACCGAGCCATAGCGGGGCTCCGGTCCCACACCGGGCGCAGTGCCCGCCCCTGAGCGGCTCCTCCCGCCCGCGGAGATCCCGGTTCTCACCCCAGCCCAAATCCTGCACTCCACCCGCCGAGCGAGAAGCGGCTCCACCCGGGACCCCCAGCAGACACCGGCAGGACCCGTACCCAGATCTCCAGGCGCAGATCCCAGTGCTGGCTCCACTTCAGCGCCTTGAGCCCCGCGCAGCACTCCGAGCAGCAGCCCCGCCGGACGCAGCGCCGAGCACCCACCACACTAAACGCGGCAGGCCCGGATCCGCGGGCATTTATGGGCGGGGCGGGGCCCCAGAGCGCCTGCGCGGGGCGGAGTCGAGTGTATGTAAACCGCGGGGAGGGGCGGATGCAGCTATTTCCCCTTCGGCTCTTGGTAGGCCTCTGTGCTGCTGGCTTTTGGGCTCTCTCTCTTTATTTCGTCTGATTATTTCTTTTGTGCTTCTTTTTCTCTATACCTCTCTTTCCTCCCCCCATCACCCTACACACCCCAACTCTGTTCCTCCATCCTCTCCTTCCACCCTTTCTTCCCCCTAACCCCAGCTCCCCCTTGTCCCTGCTCTCCCTCCCACCCTAGTCTCGCCCCACCTGCCTTCAATCCTTCCCCTCCTTCCTCCATTCTTCCTTCTCCCCTCTCTCTCCTTGTCGCCTTCTGACCACCTCCTCTGCCCCCCTGTTCTCGTACTCCATTCCCCGCTCTCCTTCTTTTTCCGCAACCACGGGGCTCGGGGCATCAGAGAATAAAGCCAATAGGGCCGCAGTCCCCCCCACGGGGCTGGACCGGCTCGGATTTCAGCGAGAACAGGGGGCGCCGGATTCCGGCTCTCTGGGCTTTATTCTCCGGCATTCCGAGCCCCGCGGCTGCGGGAAAGAGGGAGAGGGAAGGACGGGAAGAGGAGGGGTGTGGGGGGGAAGAGGGAGGGTGGACAGAGGAGGGGGAGAGTGGAACAGAAGGGGATACAGGGGTAGGTACAAGAGAGGTAGGAGTGAGGGGGTCGGGTTTGGGGGCGAGAAGGGAAGGGTTTCGGGGCAAGAGGTAAGGGGAAGAAAGAAAGACAATACGGGGGGAAGGAAGGAGAGGTACAGGTGGGGGGACCGGAGGGGAGGCCGAAGCCCCTGCGCCTCACCGGCCGAGCACGCACTGTGCTCTGAGTGAGCAAATGGCGGCCGAGATGATTTCTGGGGATTAAATGACCTCGGGCCCGCCCCTCACACCTGGGCCGAACCGGGGCTTCGGGTCCGGGTCCCGCCCGTGTCCGCTGGGGGTCCCGGGGCCGCAGGGCCGGGGCGGGATTGGCGGTGGGACGGGACCGGGCTCGCCGCCGCAGGAGGAGCCGCCCCGGGATGGGCGCTGGGGCCGAGCCCTGTGCTGCCGCTTCTGCTCCGGCCCCGCCGGAGCTCCGGGACACCCCAGCCCCGCAGAGCCGGGGGAAATTGTTTTGAATTTTTTATCCAGCCTAGGCAGATAATTATCATGGAGAAAACCCAAAAATAGAGGATATGGGGTTGGGGCACTGGCAGTGTTCTGCTTTAAATTAAAAACCCATTCGGAAAAAATAAATCTGTGGAACAGCTCGTTTCCAATTCTGGACTGGCTTCTGTGTGATCGGCTGTGATTCCAGCTGCTCCCATGGGATTTTAATGAAGTGTGAGGTGATGAGCATGGCAGAAAATAATGGGAAAACACTTGGGATCAAGCAGTGTCCCAAAGAGCTGGCAGTCTCCAGCATTTCTATCTGGAATTTGGGGATCCCAGCAGAGCCTTTCCATAGTGTTCCTGTGGACCTGGTACTGCCCAGCATTCCTGGCTGGAATTTGGAGGTGACAGCCCCCACTTCCATAGTGTTCCTGTGCCTCTGGCACTACTCACCATCCCTGCCCAGGGTTTGGAGGTTCCAGCACAGCCCCACCCCCCAGCACATCCCGCTGCTTCCTCAAGTTCCCTTTAACCAGGGTCATTTTTTGGGGTGGGGGCACCCAAACCCAGCAGAATTGGCTTTAACCAGTTTTGGGGGATCTCCCCTCTCCCCTCCTCACTGAATTCCACTGCCAAATCCCAGCCTGAGGCTCAGCTCCTTGTCCCCTCGATCCCTCTGAGGAACTGGACTTGAATTTCCCAATCCAGCAGGGCAGCAATGCTGTTTCTCCTCACTGTGTATCTTGATTGTAGTAACTACTTATGAAATAATTCAAGGAAATTCAGAGAATGAAGAGACAATAAGGAAGAGCTGCCAGCTCCAACCAAGGGCTGCTCAAACCCCTTCTCAATGATTTGCTTTAATTAACCAATGCAAGTGAGCCAATCCAAATCACATTGATATGGTTTTATTCTCTTTAATCAAATTATAAATAGTGCAGAATAGAAAAGAACACTTTTAACACCAAAACTCTTCTAGGAGGTATGCAGAGCAGGGCTGTACTGCACCCCCAAATTGGGAGAACTGGGAGAAAAGAAAATCCAGACTGACATTCCTGGGAGATTGGTGCAGCTTCTGCCAGCCAGAACAATCCTTGGTCTGAGCACACACCTGTGGGATGTCATCAATATCCTCTTGGACCTTTTCATTCAAAGCAGATTTCCACAGAGAATTAATGAAATACAGAAAATTAAATGGAAACAGAAAGGAGAAGCTCCCTCAGGACAGCAGGCTGCAGCATCCAAAAGAAAATGAACAGAAAGATTATGGACTGGGACCATCCCAAATCCCCAATTCCCCATGTGGGATACCACTCTGCTTTGCTCTGTAAATCACCACTTCTCTCAGAGGACAAACCCTTCAGCTTTGCTTCCAATTCACCGAGTTCCCAACTGTGGCCACCGAAATTCTCTGCACTGTGTCCATGGCAGGATCCAGCGAGACACGCAGGGAATTCCCATGGGAACGGTGCCCAGGAAGCTCCTGGCCCTGCCCTGTACCTGCAGCCCAGAGGGAGATCTTTTCCCACAGCTGCAGCTGAGCTCGGTGTGTCCCGACGCTTCCCACGCTGACACCCACAGCTCCCTTCGCCCGCTGCCTTAGGGAGTGTCCCTGAGGTGCCAGCAGGAAAGGAGCCTCTCAGGGACATGGATGGGAATTCAGGGGGAGAAAAGGAGTTTTCAGTCTTTAGCATCTCCCCTTCTGTCAGTACTGACAGCAAACACGGCTTCAGCCTTGGCAAGACACAGAGGGTCAGAGGTTTTACAGATCCCGGTCTCACCTCGGCCTTGCCGCAGGTACTGCCTGATGGGAGATGGAAGGAAAAAGGTCAGGATGGGTTAAAGTTCCAGAAAATCCTTACCGGTATTTTGTCAGCTTAGGTTTCACTGATGCCTTTAATGTTCAGCAGCACCTTCTCTGGTGCATAAGCCACAGCCTCCACTGTCTGAAATCCAGCTTCTTCCAACCTTTTCCCATCACCGGCATTTATGCCACATTGCTGGGAGGGAGGGGAGAAAAAGGACACCTGTTAGTATTTTTTGATTGTTTTGGGTTTTTTTTTGACAAGAACACAGGTAAGAACTTAGCAAAGAAGTTTTCAGATTCACCTTGTTTTGAAGGGAAAACTTAAGGTTGGATATTAGGAAGGACTACTTCCCTGTGAAGATGCTGAGGCCCTGGCACAGGCTGCCCAGGGCAGCTGTGGCTGTCCCAGCCCTGGCACTGTCCAAGGCCACGTTGGATGGGGTTCTGAGCAACCTGGGATAGTGGAAGGTGTCCCTGCTTGTGGCAGGGAGTGGAGCAGGATGAGCTTTTAAGGTCCCTTCCAACCCAAACCGTTTCAGCATTCCACTGTTCCATCCATTCAAGGGACAGGGGTTTCCTTCTGCCAGGTTTGAGGGAAGCTGCTGCTTTATGAAATGAGTCCTGCTGAGTTTTGCTCCTCTCTTTAGCTGTGTATCCCATGTGCTTCCTATACAAAGTCCCAGCAGCTTCACACATTGAGGGAAGGAAGCAGAATGCTGTAGCTGTGACAAAAAGCTTTGCAGAAGTATTTTAAAGCCTCAAAGCCACTCCCAACCCCAAATAAAATAGTGAGCCAATGCTGTTTACTCATCTCAGCAGACTTGCAAGCCCACAAATTTTCCCAAGCATGTTCTACCTCAGCAGCCCCTGCCTGTGGCTGACCACTGGGTTTTGGAGCAGGACAGGCCCCCAGAGCCTCCTGCCCCTCCCAGCAGCCCAAGCCACAGGACTTGGTCCCCAGGGTGGGTGTCTCTGTGGTTGTGGTGGAGTCTGACCCCTGGATCCAGGGATCCTTTCCCAGCAGGCACCCAGACTCGAGCGCATCTTCCTTTTGCCTGGAATTGCTTCCTTAGTGGAGCTGTCACCCACCTGGGGACACAGTTGTACTCCATGACTCCATGGAAAGAGCAAGTGGGTCCTGCCAAAAATCACACCAGGAGCCTCTGATGGACCTTCTTTCCAGGACACCCTTCTGCTGTCAGGACAAATCATAGTGGCTGTGTTCCTGTGTGGGGGCCAGAGGGCAAAAGCTTGTTTCATTTTTTGTGGAGGGCCTTGTGCCAGAGAGCTGAGGAAGAAGCTTTAGATCACCCTCCATCTGGCCATCCTGCTGAGGGAAATTAAGACAAAAGGGAGGAAACCCAACGAGGTACCTGCTGTGTGAGTGCTTGGTCACCACATCTCGCCTCGCTTTTCTTCTGGGACCCCTCTGTGCAGGTCTCCTGGTTGTGGCCATCACAGAGGAGTGATCAATGCACCACTGGAGCAGCGGGAATGTCTGTGGTGAATCAGGACATGCACCTTGCTGCTGCAGGTTTTGTAGAGACTCACGCAGAAGTAATTCCTAGTTACATTCAATTTAAGTTATTTCCTCAACTATGACCATGAGATTTTTTTTTTAATTCTTTTTTAGTGAAAACTTGGATTTTGCAGAACATGAATAGTCTTGTGTGAGCAGGAATCTCCCTGAAGGTAGTTAACTGGATGCTTTTTTGGTGCAGCTTCCTTGCATTCCTCCAGTCTGAATCATTCTGGACATCTGAGCTCATTCTGGACATCTTTTATCTATGACTTTGGTCCCACTTCATCCCTAGGGAAGGGATCTCTCCTCTCCTGTATCAGTGGAGGAGGAAGACTGGAAGCAATTTAGGAAATGGGCTGTAACTCATCTTGTGCACACAGTGAGGGAGATAATGAGGAAAAAACAGAATAATAAAAAACCCCAAACTATTGGATTTTACCAATATTACCGAACAGGACCGCCTTGGTCTGTCTGGCCTCGGCTGCTGACCAAACAGCGGCACCTGTGGTCCTTCCTCCCCAGAGATGCTGTTCAGTGCCTGTGCTCGCAGCTGAGCACGTGGAGACAAGTCCGGGCATGTCCCGAGCCCCAGTGCTTGTGGGCTGGAGCTTGCTGTTGAGGGGGTCACTCCTCGGGCCTTCCTGAGCTGGAGAAACCTTTAAGGCAATGGTGAAGAAAAGAGCGGGTTCTGATGCAGAGTTTTTAATCCAGGGTTTTTCTTTCGGGCCGCATGGCCTCTGAATCCTGCAACAACTCCAACAGCACTCTCAACTGCGTGGTGTGGTGAAGAAAAGAGCGGGTCCTGATGCAGAGTTTTTAATCCAGGGTTTTTCTTTCGGGCCGCATGGCCTCTGAATCCTGCAACAACTCCAACAGCACTCTCAACTGCGTGGTGTGCTTGCCTTTTTAGCTGCGGAGAGGGGCAGGGGAGGGAACACAGGGACCGCCAACCAGGTACAGGGGGAGGAGGGGGTCTCAGATGAGAGGGACACCTGGGTGGGCCAATGGCCCCCCAGGAGGTGGAGAGCATCCTTTGAACCTGCGCCAATCACTCGATGCTCCCCTTGGAATTTTTGGGTTGATAGACAATGCCCAGCAGGGGTCAAGGGTGGGGAAAGGAGAGGTGATTGACACACCACCTGGGGAAGGAAACTTCAGGGGAAGAACTGGGGAAACTGAGGCACACCATGACAACACACCGCAACACCAAACCCCACAGAATCCAGAAGCTTCTTCCAACACAAAGTGAGGACTTGATGTCGACAAAAAATATTGTGGATTCTACATGTCTACTCATGCAAAAAAAACATGTGGGGAAATAACAGGAAAGAGTCAGAGAAGAGATAATTTCTTCCTGGTGTTTTTGATCAGTCTATTTAATTTTCACTTAAGTGCATTTAAGATGTCCTTCACCTGAAAAGTCTCTAATTTGAAAGAAAAAATCACCTCTTAGGCTGAGTGTGTTAAACCCCAGCCTGCTGGCTCAGTTCTGCAGCCCCTGCTGCCTTTGCTACTGCTGGGCATCCACCTCCCAGACTACAGGAACCCCCAGGAGAGGTTCTCAGATCCTGCAAAATCACAGCTTCCACTGAGAGAAGAGGGAGGTAAAAGTATTAAACTGTATTTCCATGGATGCTTAGAAAACTTAGGAAAACAAGCCAGAGAGGGCAATGCCTGAGACAAGGCAAAAAGCCACTTGCTATTGATTTGCTGCATCAGCTCCTTCCTCTATCAACCAAATTTGATCAGAGCAGCAGTTAAAACTCAGTTATGGAGCTACATATGAATGATACATTTCAGCAATGCCTTACTTGACATTTCTGCCTACTCCCCATTTTCCCCAGCCTTGAGGGTGTGTGCTCCTGCCTCCCTGGCGCCTCACCCCTCCTTTCAAAGAAGCACATCTTACTTGAAGCCTGCAGACTGGGAACCTCAAACTCTGACCTGAGGTTGATCCCAAACTTCTTACATTTGTCTATCAGGTCCTGGAAAAATGAAGAGAAACTGAACACAGAAGTGCAACTGATACTAATAAGTGGTATTAATGTCATTAAGGAAGGGAAGAAAACCCACCAAGCTGGCTTCATCATGCTAAAAGTAACTGCAAGGCAAATGGCACTTGAGGGGAAGGAAACAAGGCAGAGAAGGGTGGATGATACAAGTGCTGAGAGCACGAGGTCAGAAGCCACAAAAACCAGTGTGTCCTAACTCGGAAAAAGGATTGCTGAAACATGAGCACAGGTGACTCCAGGACAGGAAATAAGGGTGTCCTAGAATGACATTATGATGCTTGTATCCCCAATTGTGTGTTCTCTTTATGCTGGATATTATGTTCTGTGCCTTCAAGACTGGCTCTGAAGAGCAAAGTTTTGTTTTGTTTTTGTTATCAGCCTGCTCCCCCACAGCTGGCGGGACAGAGAGACGGGGCAGTACATAGTGCAGCTTTTGCTTTTTGCTTGTCTTTTTGCTTTGCTCTTGCTCCTGCTTTGCTCTTGCTTTTTGCTTCTGCTCGTTAGTTAGTTAGTTTAGCTAAGCAGTCTGAATTTTTCCCTGGACTGTTTTTCCTTTCCCTTTTTTGGAACCACTTGAGCCTGCTCCGGACTGGCACCTGGGAAACACCAAGAGTTTGCATCTTGTGGCCTGCAGCTATCTCCAGCACTGGAGGGACTGATAACAGAGCGACCATTCCCAGGAGAGACTTTCTGAATTTGTCATCTTTTTCAGCACGGTGAAAGAGTGTTGTCATCTGGTATTGTTCATTTTGTGTGCTGGGGGTGCTTTGCCTGTTAGATAAACAGGTTCTTTCCACTTCTCTCCGAGGAATCCTTCCCGAACTGTGTGGGTTTGCCTTCTGGAGGGGCGTCTTTGGAGGTTTTCTCCCAAATTTGCCCTAGGCCAGGACAAAGGAGAAGGCAAAGTGAGCAAACAGGATTGAGAAATCAAATTTCTGAGGGAGAAGTGACTTAGTTATTATTGTCCTGCTAGGAACGACCAAGAGCCTGTGAAGTGGATGAGCAGGCAAGTTTGTGGAGGCTGTTTTCTGACCATGATGCTGTTTCTGCTCCTGGAGGTGAGGGTTCAGCTCAGCAGGCTCATTCTCACCCCTTTATTCTGTCCATCCATGCCCCTTGCAGGTTTCTGCTTGGTCACCCCTCCAGCAACTTCTGGCAGAAGCCAGTTCAAGTCCAGAGGCTCTTGAACCCCTACAGTCTGTGTTTCCCAGGCCAGGCTGGTGAGCCATCAGTCCTTCCCTGCCCTGATGCCCTGTCTGGGGTTTCCACTTATGGTCTGTCTTCCTGCTGTGACAGAACACCCAATGCCAGAGGGTGGGGGCACATGCACCTGGCGTGGTTGGGGGAGGTGCCAGAAAGGCTGCAAATGACTGTCAGAGCACGAAGCCTTTCATTGCAGGGTCACAGAATCATTCAGGCTGGAAAGACCTCTGAGATGCTTGAGTCTAGCCTGTGACCAAGCACCACTTTATCAACCAGGCACTGAGTTGATACCACCGGCCTTTCGTTCAACACCTCCAGGGATGCGGCCTCCACCACCAGATGCCTAATCAGCCTTTCTGTGAAGAATTTCTTCCTGCTGTTCAACCTGAGCCTCCCCTGGCACAGCATGAAACCATTTCCCCTTGTCCTGTCCCTTGTTCCCTGGGAGCAGAGCCCAACCCCCCGCAGCTGCACCCTCCTGTCAGGGAGTTGTGCAGAGTCAGAAGGTCTCTCTGAGCCTCCTTTTGTCCAGGCTGAACCTCCCCAGCCACTCCTCTGAGCACTCCAGTCCCTTCCCCAGCTCTGGAGAGTAAAGGTGACCACAGTTGCAGCTGATGTTGCAGGGAGACAAAGGCAGTGCCACTGAGTGTCTGTGAAACTTCGAGCAGCAGAACAAAGAATGACCTCCACTTTTCTGTCTGTACCCCTTCCAGGTCTGCTTCACCATTGCTCATCAAGAGGAATCCAGTCTCATATGCATGGATATGCAAAAAGTCCTGACTTCTGTAGAAGCACAGCCTGTTTCAGGTGGCCTTCAGCTTCAGCCTCGATTCCCAACAACAGCTGGACCAGCAGGACAGCAGCAGTATGAAAACACAGGCAGCTATACCAACACTCCCATGCTGGGGAGCCACTCAGCTCATTCTTGCACTGCAAAATCCTTCTAAAAATATTTTGAATGGCTCTGAAATTATTTCTCCCAGCAGTGGGACAAACTGATGTGGAGCAGACCAGAGTGACACATTAAAGCAAGAGCACAACAAGATTCTGTTCACAGCTTACTTGGGGAAGGAGAGTACAGGACACAGAATTAATCCTCATTCTGATGTTTAAACATTTTTTTAGCTCTTTCAATTTAACCATCCAAAATAAACTCCCTGAAATATGAAGTATTAAATAACCCTCCTTCCCCTTCCCTTATATGCAGTGTCTTTACAGGACTTTAAGAGGGAAGCTTAACTTGCATGGTTCCCTGCTGCTGCTGTTTTTGGGAAAAGCAAGATATGGAATGGTGGGAAGAGGGAATTAAGGGAAGAAGAACCGCAACAAAACACAACTGGCGACCAATGCCAAGTCTCCCTTAGAAGCTTGTCACAAAAGCATTTTTATATATACATATATATATATATATATATATATATATATATATGTATGTATATAGTATTTTTCCATCTAGGAGTGATTTGCAACAATGCATAAAACCAGGACACAGTTACACAGCTACTGCAGTGCAGCTGATGTCAGAAATTTTTACAAATGAAGAACCAGGAAAAGGGGACAGAACACCTCCTTACCCTCCCCTGCCCTAATTGAAGTATGTGCATCCATCCTCAGAGGTCTGAATATGCACCCTAGACACTGGAGGAGCATCTCTTCTGCAAGTCTGGATGCTGTTTGTGTATCACAACCCCCAAAAAGTTGATCTTAATTACTGGTTATTTGTAATAAATTTATGTGTACAGTCAAATGAAGTATGCTTTGAAAGCCAAAAGCTGTTACCTGTAACTAGGGAAAACCCAAAGGATGCCCTGAGCACTACACTTTTTTGTTACATTACCAAAAATCATCTCTATAGGGTGGGAAAGGACATAGGAAAGCAAATCTTTTATTGCAAAGCTGTACCATTAGGCAGAACAAATGTTCATCTTTGAACTCTCTTAAAAAATAAAAGCAATTTTTGATGAATAAATTTAATCATTAAATCTAAACCCAACAACCACAAGAACAGGTTATCAGAAGTGGGAATTAGATAAGAGGTATCAAATCAAAGTAACCCCCATAGCAGGGAGAGGAATGATGAGGAGGACTCCATGGATATCAGAAGGCTAATTAATTACTTTATTATACTATGTTATTCTGTACTATATTGGACTATATTACATTGCATCTCCACTGCACTCATCTCGTGACTGTCAGCCGACAGTCCCGACACACACACACACACTTGGCCCTGATAGGCCAAGGAAACAAAATACCATCACTGCAGGTAAACAATCTCCATATTGCATTCTACTTTAGCACAACACAGGCACAGCAAATGAGGTAAGAATTGTGTTTTCTTTCTCTGATGTTCAGAGAATGTGAAACCCAGAAATATTATTGGGAAGAATTGTGCCTTGCTTTTCTCTGTGAAGAGAAATGTGGCAGCAAGAGGCAGGTAGAAATTAAATCCTAAATACAGCTACACTGTTAACTGTATTTAACACAGAATCTCAGTTCAGTAGTTTATTTTCTACCCCAACTTAAGTGTTTAGATTTTTAAATCACTACAGCAATTTAATAAGAAAGCAAGTTTGACTACCTGAAACCAAAGGCTGATTTTACCAGACCACTGTAGAGACAAAATACAGATGACAGTGTTTAGAAAGCTGGATACTGATGGCCACACATAGAAATTGAATTCAAATCTGAGTTTATATCAATTGTTTTTTATTAGATATCAGCAGTTTACAAATCTGAATTAAGAAAATTACAGAACAGAATTAACATGAATTCATTCTTGGTTGAAAAGTTTTTTCTTTAAGGTCATAATCATTTTTATGCAGGATGTCATCAGCAATAAATTCCAGACTGTCTAAAACACAGCCCCCTATTTCCTTATTGAATAATTGATAATTTATCAAAAATCTAAGACTGTGCTAAACATGTTAATAAGTATTTAATTAGCTACTCTATTAGGCCCTTAGTATATTTCAAATTTTTTTTTTCAATTTTTAAACAATACAGAATTTTTAAAAGCACTTAAGGATTCTATATTGCAAATTTTTTGTAACTTTCAAAACTAGGAATAAATAGACTGTTCGCACCACAAGGTGAAATCCACTATTCAGCATTACCACATTTTGACTTCTCCACATTTCACATCTAAGCACAGAACCTTCTAGCTGGAATACTGTATTAAACACTAATTTCCCACCATTTCAATGCACATCAATTTATGACTTCAAGAGCTTTTACCTCCTGGCAACACAGGTTTAAATTAAATGTTTTATTTTGCTACAGTCTACTAAACACCACCACCTCCTTTCTCCTTCCTGCCTCACAGAGCCAATAATAAAATAAAGCTCCCAGCTTATCTAACAATAAGGCTGTTAAGAAATAAAGACTGGAAAGGAACAAAAAAGAAAAAGTATATGCAATGTAACAAGTTGCTGCAAGATGTCTGCTCTGTTAAGATGAAGCAGCACTAAGAAGAGGCTGAGTCAGAAATCTGCACTAAGAAACATCATCAGTCTTAAGGCAACCTTCATTTGAATCAGCAGAGTGATTACTTGTGTGCCTGAAGAGGAATCCTCCTTTAGCTTCAGTTAGGAACCATATCGGTCCTAGAAAAGTAAAAACAAATAACAAACCAGGTATGAGTGGGTTTTCCATGCAAAGAAATAAGTTTTACTTCCATTTGTGCAATAAATAACAGCTGAATTCTTCAAGACTTTCAGAGAATTGACCAGTGCTTCCAAGAACTGGAGTTTAGGGTTGAATTCCAGGATAATCAGCCTGATTTTCAAACATCTGAGACCTCCCAATGACCTCATACAGGAATTGTCAAGTGACTGGAGCACAAAACATGCTGGACACTGAGCCTAGGATGGCTTATTTCATACAAAAACATGGATCAAAGGTCAACTAAAGAGCCAACACAAGTGTTGGGCAGGATGATCACTGCAGATCCCTTCTACCCAAACTATTCCATTCTGAGTTAGGAACTGTGATGAGTTTAAAACAGAGTGACAACAAATAACTTTCATGATGGGGTTTTTTAACTGTAAGATAAAAGATATCCTTATGAAGGTGAGCTAGCAGATCCAGATTTATTTTCTAATTTATAAAGATTTACTGTCTACTTTGAGATGTCTACAGAGCTCAAAACCAATTGCATTCTGTTCTCCCTAAAGATAATTCAGTGGCAGGATCCATGGTACTAAATCCCTATAGAAAGGCTTCAACTGATGGTTAATAGATTGTGATACTTTTACTCACCTGTATAGATGTCATGACCCCATTAGCAAGGACAGAAAGTTTTCCCGCCACAGATTTCACTCCTTGTTTAAACTGAGCTATATCAGGAGCTGAAGATAAGACATTGGTAATATTGTAGCTTCCTAAAAGGAGAACACACACACACACACAGAGGAAACAGAATTTTTAAATATTAAAATCAACCTTTTTTTTTTTCCTCCCTGAAGTACAATGTATGACTAGGAGCACTAGACAGAGATCTCAATGTCTTAAATGCATTTCCTTTGGATTGTTTTCAGGTTTTCTTAATTCCACCCAGGAGTGCCATCCTCTACACTGCATTCCCAGCAAAGCAATTAATGTTTGGATAGTAGATTACTTATTGTGTACTCCCAGTCTGTGACAATGTTGTTTTGTATCCTCAACAGCTGTTATCCCCCTGCAATTTAAAGATATATGCACTTCAGAGGTGGCTGAAGTGATGAACCCTATTTGTATGCATGCAGAGGGGTGATTTCCATGCTGTATAAACACAAACATTTTGCCTTACTACAATTGAGGCTTGGAAAAATCCATAGAAATTATAGCAAATGTAAATAAATTAGGTTTTATAACTCCAGAACAATGCTGGCAACCCAGCCTTCCTTAAAATTTGGACAGAATTAGCTAGGCTGTTATTATGGAAAGTGCAGGTCTAAAGGTAAAAGAAATCAAAGATAATTAATTAACTACTCTAACTGCACTCTAACTGCATGCAAAGTATTAATATGCTAAAAATTACTGTCAGCCACTCATTGGTGAAAATAATTACTGGCATGCCTTAGTGTTAAATATAGGATACTGTCAAAGGCACAAATCCAAGTAAACCAGAATCACAGAACCGTGATCACAGAGTCAGCCACAGAAAGGCCTGGGCTGGAAAGAACCTCAAAGATAATTTCATTCCAACCCTCTGCCACAGGCAGGGACACCTGCCACCATCCCAGGTTGTTCCAAGCCCCATCCAACCTGGCCTTGGACACTTCCAGGGATCCAGGGGCAGCCACAGCTTCTCTGTGCCAGGGCCTCCCCACCCTCACAGGGAACAATTTTTTCCCAATATCCAAGTTTAAACCTCCTCTCTGTCAGTTTAAATCCATTCCCTCTTATCCTGTCGCTCCAGGCCCTTGTCAACAGTCTCTCTCCATCTCTCCTGTGGGATCCATTCAGGCACTGGAAGGCCACAATGAGGTCACCCTAAAGATCTTGGGAATCAATGGGGCTCCAGGAAGTAACCATCCCAAACCACACCATTTTCCAAATAGAGACTTTTAATCTTTTGAACAGGAGTGGAGGAGGAAGAGAGAGAAGGAAGAGGGAACCTGTAGCTCCTCTGTCCTGGGACATTAAAGGCACCTGCTCCCTTTAGCAGGCTGTGACAGACAATCCTGGAGATCCTTTGTTTTACCTAAGATAGGAGGACGGTCTGTAGCACAGACGTCTTGTCACATTAAGAGAACTTCCCACTCCAATCCTTCACCCCAGCATGGGTTTATAGATACTCTTTACAGATTATCTTCAAGTGTTCCCTCAGACAGTCCTATTTCTGAGCTACAATTTGGACTTTCTTATGATCTGTTCCACTTATCAAATTAAGGCATTTTTGTTACCAAAATCAGTAATAGAAATAAAATCTGCAGATATAAATAATCTGAGAAGCTCTAACCACTTCTCAGCCAGAAGAATTCCCTCAGCATTTACTGGCTAAGTTTGGTTGGTCTGAAAAAGTTCATGTACACAAGGCAGGAAAGCACCTCCTTTTCTTGTGGTTTCCTTCCAAATCACCTCCAAGTCAGCCACTTGATTTTCATAAGCATCAGCTCTGAAATAATGCAAAAAGGCTTTTTCTTGCGGCCTCCTCTTTGATTAAAAACTTCCCTACAGCATTCTGTACAAGAGCAAGGAGCCCCACACAGTTCTACCCTGACACCTCATCAGTGCTCATAAAAACAACCTTAGAGCTGTTTTATCCTGGCAAGGACTCCAGAACTACACTGGTGTTCTTATTGACAGGGTCCTGACTATTTTAGCTAATGATAGTCTGGGCACTAATTCCACACCAGAAAAACTGTCACTACCTCCAAAAAGGGCCAACTCTCAGTTTTTGGGGTGAGGGGTGTTGCAGAGACATCCAGGAAAGGAAGTTTCAGTACTTGATATGGTGTGAATTTATGACACCATGTTGCAAATGCTCTTTCAAGTGGCTAAAGCAACTTACTGCGATTTCTGCTTGGTATCTTCTTCCCTCCTTAACTTTTTTTTTCACATTTCAAATTCCTAAACCCCAGTTTTACTTAAGCAACCAGTAACAGGAGTTATAAATAACTATATAGTTACATAATACCTAAAATAATATATTGTATTATACCAAATATATTATATTAACTATAATAAAAATTACAGTTATATTTATACAATATATTATGTAAATGTATTACATTAACTATATAGTTATTATAAAATTATGTTTCCTCCATGTGTGTGTGTTCTCTGCTAGTCAGTGCATTCAAACTTGCTTTCAGGGGATCAAAACTACACAGTCACAGGTTTTTCCCTCCTAGTTTTCCAAAGTAAAATCAGATGCTGCACACTGTTTGTTTTTCCAGGCTATTTGAATAATTGCTCACAGATTTCTTCAGTAACTCTTCTTTTTCCAATTTCTTCAAAAGTTAAGGAATGAAACTCAACTGATTAAGCCTATAAAATGTTCCAGCATTTGCCACCTTTTCCACTGCACATTATTGCACAATCCAAGAAGTGTTGGAAAGAAAACATGAGACATTTTCAATAATCTAAGGGGCTTCTTTTCACTCAATCTAATCTTTCTCCCTTTCTGACTTGATGAATTACACTCTCCCATATGAGGTGCTCCAACAAATCTTTGAAACAGACAAGTGAAGATCTTCCTTAATAATTTTGCAAGGCCAGAGGTAGAAGCAATTATCCCACTGAATGGATATGCCATGTAACAGATTACATGGGAATTTCAAGTCCACTAACATTCATTTAATAATTTTTCCAGATCCAGTATTATACTTACGGTAACTGATCAAAAAAATTACCTGAGAGTCCATTTAGGTGTTAGCTCATTGGAAAATATTAGTTTTCCTTTGATAGATCTTATCTACAAAATAGTCTGTTATTTGCAACACAGCCCCCCAGTATAAAATACTGAACTTATAGAATCAAAAACAGAAAACTTAAAATTCAAGGGGTTAAAATTTTAAACAGTGACTACACCTGGCATGTCTGTTTGAGCTATTAGCATTTTGCTTGCAGAACACAGTGATGACTGTGATTAGAAGCAGAGTCAGGGCCTGCATTGCCCACATGCTCCAGTTTCTCACTCTCTTTGATATGTACCTGTTGATTGTTTCCTCTGGTCTTCAAACAAGTCAGCTGAACTTATGGATGTGCTTCCAGAAAGCCTTTCTAGCCGAGCCCTTGCTTCATACTGGAAAAGAATTGAGAATAAAAAGGATTTTATCACCTTGAGGTCACCTTTTGAGGTCATGTCAGATAATCTGAGAGACTGCAGACTTAGAACTGAAGTGGACCATACTGAAAATTGTGCCCATTTCAGTTTTCACATCACTTACACTGAGTTTGCCACCATCTCATTTCTGAGTTATCCAAGAGTGACATTTATCATTGCAACCCCAAAGGTCCCACTAGCTATTAGTTACCCTACAACTGCTGGAAAACTGTGCAGCCATTAAAAACAACAACTAAAAAATGTGAAACCAAAGGGAAAGCACTGCAGTTAACATCCTGCTGACCCTTCCAACGACATGACACTTTTAACTCAACTTTTTTCAAGTTCCCTGCAAACAGTAATTATATTTTTAATTAGTACTTACACTGTTAGTTTTTCATTCAAAATCCGTATCTTGCCTCCAAAATCCAGCACAATACTAATATCTTTTTTCTAGGCTGATTCAACTCCTGCAATTCACTGAACATTTTCTTTACTTGGTTAGCTTTACAACATTAATGATGTTTTAATGTAACAAATCGACAGCAGGAAGATGTTTCAGCAGTGGTTTGTTGGCATCAGTTTGGGTATTGTTTTGGGTATCTAGAACAAATTAAGCCGGATTCTAAAAATCCTAAAATTCCTGGTCAAAAATCAGGAGTGCTAAATCATAGTCTACCACTTCTATCAGGAAGAAAGAATGATGGAGGTACAGTCCTACATGCAACTGCAATTCCTTAAAATTAAATTATAAACTATCTGAAATTTGTACATTTCTATCAAACAAATAATCAAGGGGACATGATTCTATAAGCTCACAAATTCTACCAATTTTAACTATTTATTGCCTTCTCTCTTACTCACAAGAATACCATTTTTATAGTCAAAGAATATTTTGACATTTAAAAATACTTATCACTATTTCCTACTTACATCAGCCTGATCTTGCCTTCCAAAGTACATGTCTGATGAAATGGCTTTGACATTGCCAAATTTTTTCTGTGCCTCATCTGTGTTTGCAGAAGGTTCATATTCAGGCTTACGCCGGGATGCAGGCCTGGAAGGAAAATAAACTGCATCAGGGAGAGAAACCACATTCAGAGAGAAACCACATTCACATCGTGGCAGAATGAAAGGAATCAAACAAGAGCCAGTGAAGTGCTCAAGTTGCATTGTACAAGTAAATGAAAAATAAGATTTAAAGTAAAAAGAAGAGAGGCAGTAAACATCAACCAAGCACATAACCTCCTAATTCTTACATCTTCTACTTGATGACAAAGATAGAAATACAGCTGTCATAAAGAAAATATATTTTTTATCATCACAATCAGACCTGTTGTTTGTGTCTGTAGTACCTTCATCCTCAGAACTGAGCACTCCAAATTTGCACTCATTTGTTAACAAGGTTTCCTTTCACACAATAAACAAAGCAGGTATGTGCACAGAACAGTGCAAATATCTGAGTTTCTCCCCACATCTTTTGTCTACTTCCTCTTTTGTCGAAAGTCTTTTAGTGGAGGGAATTACCTCCACTACATGGACTGAACAACTCTGAGCACAACAGACAGTGCTTAAAATGTAAGGAAGAAATTCAGCTTACAAAAGAAATTCAGTCAGGAGATCCCTTGACTGCTGATGGAAATTCTGGCCTAATTCTCCTTCTATAGACTGAAGAAAATCCCACTGCTATGACCAGGACTCAAATCACATTAAAACTTGGGCTTTCTGGACAAAAATAAATTTGGTTTTCTTGATGTACCTGTCTGAAAATCCTGTGCTTTTTGAAGTTAACAATATATCAATGTCTTTATTATTATTTTCTTTCTTCCAAAAAGCATCGGAATTGTCATCCCATTTAGAGAAAGTGCTGCTCCTCAGATCTGAAGAATCAAAGTACCTAGAATAAAAGAAAGAAAAACCCTATTGAAAAGTCAGAACTTTGTTATTTACTGAAAAGTGGGAATATATTTATTTGTTTTAAGATAATGACTGCTGTAAGTATTCACTAGCAAGTATGTTTTCACCAAAACTACAGTTGTCAGTGAGCAATTTGGATTTCACAACACTGCTTTAGAAGCTTTGTACAGTTGAATCCCATGGCTCAAAACAGGCAGGAAAACCTTTCTTTCTGGTTCTGGTTTTATTTTTAGTCCAAATATTAACAACTTGCGAGTTTTGCCACACATTTTGTTAAAATTAAATGCTAAAAACATATTTATTGAAAGTGAGTCTGAATTCAATAAAGCAATATTCTCTTGCACATCAAAACCGTGGGGAAAACACAAAGAAAAGAAAAAAAATTAAGCATGTTTGTAAATTCTGCTATTCTGATCTGATTTGATCTTTTCCCCTTTTGGTTACCTACACATACCTCAGCATATGTGGAAAGTATTTTGAAGAAAAAAGAAACAACCAAAACCTATTAAAATGCAAAAGATTAAGATTTTGTGCTTGAAGAAATTTACCTGAAGTTTGTCTATAACTAGGATGGGGAGAAAGATGATCAAAACCACAGGGACATAGGAGAATGGAACCATTCAGTAGAACAAGGTAAGATACTAAAGTCTGCACCTGTATCTTGTGAAAAATACTCTTAAAAAACATTCTCCATGTTTGCACTATGAATGGTCAGGCCACTCATTTTTGCAGATCATGAGGAATGTGACCCCTGAAGCATCAAAGTCTCAGCATTGAGCATGGAAAATATGAGGGACAGATTGGGAATGAACGTCTACAAAAAGCAGGAGCCTCTCTCCTGACAGACAAAAAGAAACCACAGCAATTTTATAAATTCCATAATAATAAACAATTAAGGTGTTTTTATGGATTTGAAGCTTTCCAGTTTCACATGGCCTCCAAAACCACAGCATTGGGCAGGGTCTGCATGAGCTGATTTGAGTAAAAGTGTTTATTTTCTCTAACCTTTCCTCTCAGATTTTTGCAGATTTGCAAAATACTTTCTCAGTATTTGTGGTGGGGGAAGAGAAAGAAAAACTGCATTTAATACAAAAAAAAAAAATTATATTGTGACATTAGTAAAGTAGCAAAAGAAAACATCACAATTCAGGATTTTCAGAGGCTTCAATTTTATGTCTAAACCTTGAGACCTTTAGCTTGCTTAATTCACTTATCAACACACTAATATCCAGTATGACTATTTTGCTTTTGGGCATATACTAAGATGATGCTAAAGCTACTTTGTCTCTATTTCAAAGTCACAGCTTGAAATAAAGGATAACAATACCCTTAAGAAGTCCAAATCTGACTGTTCTTTCTTTAAAGAGAATGAACTTGTGTACCAACTCCAATTAGATCCTCCCAGCTCTAACCAGAACAAGAGCAGGGAACAGCCAGGTTACAATATATCCTCTAGTCACTGAACCATAACACATTAAAAAGGCTCCTCCATAATTCATCCTTTGCCTGCTGTAGCTGATGAATAATTTGAGAGCAGTAACAGTTCTTTTCAGGGAACAAACAAGGCAAGCACTGAAATGCTATGTTTTATTTTACAAGACTGTTGCCACTTTCCTTGGACCCACATTTGTATTTCTGTTGCACTGATTGCACTACAAAATAGTGACACAAAAGCCTTGTGCTTTTATTGCCTGTCTACAAGCAATTAGGTACAATTTCTCATGCTGCTGTGGCAAGGATCCAATAAAGGCAGTTTATGAAAGCAACACCTGTTTACATCTGAGTCCAGAAACAGCTGGCTCATTGCAATTATTGCCTGTAAGACTTAATTATTTTTCTTCTCCCAAGAGCAATATTTTATAGTGTGCATTGCATTCATCTTCTGACAACAAATGTTTCAATTATTTTTCGCTCACATTTTATGTTCAGATACATAAAAATCTCTGAAATAGGACTGCAGACATCCACACAACACACCCAGCACAACACTTCAAAAAGACTGAAGTTTGTACACTTGGCATGCAGAGAATGATGCAACTGTCGTACATCTAGTATCAGACTTCAATGCTTATTTAATTTGAAGATAACAGCACAAGAAAGACAGAAAAAAGGAATGAACACAAGTCATTCTGATAAAGAATTCTTTGGATTTGGAATAAAGCAAATAAAAGTTTACATGGCAACTGTCTGTGCAAGCAGAGACTGGACTCTGGACAAGATAAAATCTACAAACACATAGTTCAGACCACTTTTCCAACAAAGCTACTGCCCCTACTTCACAAATCCACCTGTCACTGACGCACAGCCAACTTTTCCACCACTCTTCTGATTCAGATGTCCCCTGAAAACATGCTGGATGTGTACACAGGTTCAAACTGCCTCCATCTCAGCTTTCAAAAACACTATGCATATTTTTATGGAACTTGCATATACTTCTGGCCCCATCCAGAATCAAAAGCTTACAGAATACCTTGAGCTAGAAGAGAAGTAAGAGTCTTCCACATCATCCATGTACTTCTTCTTTGGCTTTGCAATTGTAGGTGTTTCCTGCTCGATTGTTTGCATCTCTGAGGCGACTGAGTGAGAAACGCCACTGGGGACAGGAAGAAAACAAGCATGTAAAGAGATGACAAAACTCACACCCTAAAAGAAAAAAAAGAAATCAAAGCCCAAATCTAGTTTCTGAATCTTGCTGAGAAAGCCCAAGCTATACAAACAGTTAAAGAAAGAGGAATTAAAATAAAGAAAACCCTTGGAAAACTATCATTCTCTCAAGTAGGGACAGGACTTCTGAACACAAAGCCCATTCTGACAGCTGGAAAATACAATCTAGGTTGACCTCTGTCTAGCAGGTTAGAACTTAAATCTATCAGAAGTTTCCACTTGACAAAGAGAAGATTTTTTTTCTGATATTGCTCAAGTTTCCATAATATGCTCTAGTCCATTTCTTAATTTTCTTGAGTAAAATGAGGGCTAAATGCGTAAAACCAGAGTATTTCCAATACAGTTTCCAGACATTCACATACCTCCTATTGCTGCCCAATCCCATGCCAAGCCTCTCCAGTTCTGTTTTCTTCTTACCAGAGAGGTTTAAGGTTTCCTCTTTTGCTTTAATATCAAGATCTCTGTAGGCCAACCTTAAAGATGATACACTGGAAAAAACAGTTATCAGAGAAATGTCCAATGCTATACTGAATCAGCCCAGGAATATTAGTAGAACATTAACAATATTTATTCTAGCACTGTATTTTCGAAGGTCTTCCCTTAAGGCACATCTGGGACCAGCTAAGTCTCCATCCCTTACCTATAAACCATCTTAATATTTTGCAGTCACACCAGTGCAGCAGAGACCGAGGTTTGTCATCTTGATTGAAAAAGAATTGCAGAATCTGCAGAATTGCAGAAATACTGCCTAAATTTAATTTGTTGGGTCAAAAGGGATACAATTTTTATTGATTTTAATAAGCAATATTTTAATTCATAAGTCTCAACTAGCACAAAGTACAAATGAACTATCAGAAGAATGACAAATGAGATTTTGCAGCACATCTACCAGCAGCATCCAAAGCAGAAAGGAATAACTGGTAACATCTACCCAGCACTTTATGCAGTAAGATTAGCAGCCCTTCTCAGGAAATCTATTTTATGAATATCAAAATCTTATTTGATGTTGATTAAAACAAATGGGAATACTGATCAAGTTTTTAGATGCAATTTTAGCTATCTATTCTTGTCAGTGCACAGCAGAAGATAAGGAAATTGTGTAAGAATTTAAAATCACATTTAAGTCTCAGAACCCTTCCTCCTTCCAAATACTAAACTACAAAATAATTACTTCTACTCCTTGCCACAGAACAAAGTCATATTGAATTAATTTAGTAAAGCTTATTACTTAAGCTTTTAAAATTAAAACCACCACACAAATTGGAAGCAAATGCAATTTTAGCAGAGTTCACCCTTCCTTTCATTTTGGTATCTGCTGCCACCTAATTGATAATCTCAGGGAAATACAGTTCTCTTGCCTGCACTGGAACTAGATCCATAAACTCAGTGTATGTGCATCCCTCATGTTTACAAGCACTTTTAGAGGGTTTTAGCTACAGCAAAAAGGTTGCAGAACTTTTATTAAAAGTTAGCTTGGATCTTTATATTTATACATTTCTGACACAAAACCCAAGACACTGCTTGGGACTTCCTTCCAAACTAAATTATATAGTCAAAGACAATATTTATAAAAAATAATAATACATGAACAATCCTTTTTTGATTATTTAGTTGCTACTTCAGAGTCTCTCCACTGGTAATTTTTGGCAAACACCAAGAACCATGATGTTGTGGTTAAAACACTTCAAATTATCTCCTTGTGATTGGCATTTTTAATGCAATCAAAACATTTATTTCTGCAAGGACAACAGAAAAGTGAGCAAAAGGAATGAGGAGGAGATTATAGACCAAAGACCTTGGTATCATGACCAAAAAAGTGATCCTGTAGTTATGTAACAATTCAGAAAACTTCTTTAAAGGTTATAGGATGGATTCTCTAGCACCTGACAGGTTGTTAAGCTCTAGAGCAGTAGAAGTGTACACTGACCAACTATTTAGTAGTGTAATTTTGATGACAACTAATGAAATGTCAAAAACCAAAAGCACATTACAGAGGAATCAGGAACAGCACCCTCTGAGCTTTAGGGCTGAGTATTTATTAATTAAGGTGGACCAACAGATTCAAGACCTCAGACAGAATTATTCAAATGGTTTTGGTGAAAGTGAAGGCAGTTCCAGCATAAATCAGCTGAAAACTTCATCAGGCTATTTCAGGCATACTTAAACTTCCTCTGCTCTTACCCAGTAAGTACAAGCTGAAAATTTCCTATGCTCTTAGAAAAACTGCTTTCAATAGTATTGAGCTCATTACACCAAACTGAAATAACCTAGGTAACTAGCATGAGATGAAAAAAATGCAGGAGCCAAGAGTCTTCTTAATACTTAATTTTCTACAGTAACCCATCAACTGTATAAACATATATTTAATAGCCAAAAAAAGGTACTGGGGGAATTACTGCTTGGCTCATCTTAACCATGTCTGTTTGGGAATTTTTGTTAAGAACTGAAATTTTATTTGCATACGCTAATCTATGGTAGTATTTAAAATGCTGTCAATTAGCTCATAAAATTAGGCTTCATGGTTTACCGTTGTGTAATTAATTCATACTTACAGTGGCTCTTCCTTCTCAGTCTTCTTACAACTGTGAAGATCTTGTTCCTTCATTTTATCTACAGCTTGTGCTTTTTTTTCAATCTCATTAAAGCTTTGGCTGCTCACTTTTTGGGCTCCCAAACCACCTCTTTTAGAACCAAGCTGGAATTATTGAAAAAGAAAAAACCAAAGGCCCCAAAATTATCACTGAGCAACCACCTCAGCTGACTCATCAGCCAGATGTGAAAGCAACAGCAAACACTACATCCTGTTTGGGAGCAGTCCTTGCAAACAGCAAGGACTATTTTGAGCAGAGAAAATACTTCTTTCCATATTGTGGACTTCAAAATTCTGCTTCTGCTAATTGTTCCTACAAATTTAGTTAGCTTTGCAGTGAAGTCCCACAGAAAAATTGAAGTATTCAGGTTTTACTTGTTCAGAGATTGGCAGACTCAAACAAATATAACACACAGAACTCTGGTTTCTCTTGTTGTATAGGAATAACATAATAAATTTTGTTGTAATGGAACCATTATCAGATTTATAAAACACTTAATACTGCAGACATGGATACAATGGTGCTGACTCAAATGGTGGCACAGCTCTCAAACTGCTGCTCTTAGTCTCTTCTGTGTCTAATTCCTCACCTGCAACACTGCAGCAACAGTTAAATTCACAATGCATTTATCTTCACCTTTTACTGCTTTAAAGCCTTCATGCAAAATCTCCAGGCCATGCACACACCAATCACAAACTGTACCTGCACTTGTCAACACTGTTCTGTTGTTCTCACTGGAAGGGAACACATCTGCACAAACCACTCAGAATAAAAAAAGTCCTCTTGGCTATTAGGGTCTTCTAGTGGGAGTACAGAATCATGGGATTTAATCTAAATTATCTGCTCCAATAAACCTTCAAAATCTTCTGTCCTACAGTGGCACAGACTTAAAAGGAGTGAGTCCCTGTAACAAGCTGTCACCCTGACAGCCTATGATTAGAGTGGCATGATTAGAGTGGCATCTGGCTTTTTTACAGAGACCAGATGCTAAGAAAGTGCTAAGACCCCATACAGAAGCAAGTCTATAAACTATCTTTAAACTATCTTGAAATAAATGATACTTTAATACAGTTAAAAATACTCATTGTTTACATACACTTACCCCTTTCTTAGCTTGATTCGGCTTCTTTTTTATGAAGGTGGTCTCTGCAAGGATTAAATGTACATTAGTTAACATTCAATTTTTATTAATTCCAGAACTGCAGAAGAAAATATCTGTAACATCAACCTCAAAATAATTTTTGCCATTTATCTTCATATCTTTCTACACTGAGGGGCTGAGATACTAAACCGAGCTATGTAACAGAGCTACAAGTGGATATCTCCAAGATAATGGAGATATTGGGATATCTCCATTGAGATATTGGGGAGCTACCTTTGATTGGCATCTCTTGAAAATATGCAATAGGAATAAAATTACAGCTCAGTTGTCTGCTGCAAGCTCCTGCTAGTTAAGAGAACAGGAAAGCAGAACTTGCTCTTCTGAATCAGACTTGACGTCCACATGACTTCGTACCACTTCCAAGATGAGTTTTTTCCTGTCTAGAAAGGTATTGGCTGTGTTCAAACCCACCAGTGACACACATAGAACATACCTGCATCACTAAAACATCACAAGCATTATAAAGAGCTCTTACTGTTCTAATTTCAACTGCTCCTAGAGCATCCTACTGGATACCTGTGCACACAGAAAAACTACTCTCAGCTGAAATTTGTGTAGAAAGGGGCATACACAGAACAGAGATTCTTCCCTTTAGACAGAACTTGTGATGTCCAAAGCAACCAAGAAAAGCACTTGTCTTAGGAGAACATGTTAAAGATACAAATGAGAAAAGCAGGAGGTGCATCCAGTGAAGTTTTTTGTAGTCTCCAGCTCTAAAATAACCAACCCCAAATAAAATCAGTGATACAGACCACATCTGCCTAAAGAACTGAAATAGGCCCAGACAGCACTTCTTTACTACCTCTGTGCTGCTGAGAATGAACACTTCATTCTCAGAAGCCTGGTCCTGCAGGACAAGCCTCACAGTGACAAATCACTGACATATTTTACTCTATTCTATCTCCATCAGCTTTTCTTCCTTACTCACGGTATGATAAACTGCTCAGTGTTAAGTATAAGAGCCTGGTCACTGACGGTATTGCATTATAAACACGGGATTTTTCCAGTCCAAGTTTTTATGTTCAGATTTCTGAAAAGGGAGCAAAATCTATTTCCACAGCTCTTCCTAGGCAGACATTCTCTGTCTAAAGGGATATTTGGGATCCCTACACCTGCTGTTCTCTTCTGCTGCTTGCACTCATTACCTAATGCAGGCTGTGGGGATGTGCTAAGGCCATCAACACTTGGTCCATGTTCTGATCCTAAAAGATAAGGAATAACAAGGGTAAGAATATCAGAAGGCTCTTCAGAATGTATGAAGTATCAAAACAGATCTCACTGTACTCAGGGTAGTGTTGTGATAAGGCACAAAATGATGACACAGACACTGCTGCTCTCGAGGGGAACAAAAAAGAAAAAACTTTATTTTCTGACTCCAACATTTATAGTTTTCCAAAGGTGACAGTGGATTGGAGGGTGACAGTGCCACCTCTCCAATGCCACTGGACAGACCAAGGGTCCATCAATTCTCTCCACCTCCATGAAAGAATGCAAAACATAGGTTATTTACAGAACTGTGTGTGAGAAAGTTTGTTGAAAGAATGTAAACATCAGAAGGCTTAACAAAGTCTTACAAAATCAGGGTGACAGGGTAGTGCCTGGTAGAGACACCATAATGTGGTATTTTCATCACAGCTTTCCCTTAAAGGGAAAGCAGGCACTTAAAAGGGCAGCAGGCACCCCAAATTCTTGTGTTATTAAGCATGCTTAGGTTATTTAACTATTAAAGCAGGGTAAAAAGAGACTAAACTAATAGAATACCAGAAAAATGCAAGTTATTGTTAACAAAGAATCAGTCATACCTTCACAGGATTCTGCAATGTTTTCTGAAGTTTTCTGCTGGAGAGAAACTGAGTCTGGTAACATCCACTCTGTATCTCTTGCCTTGGAAAAAACCAGACAGAATCAAAAGTGCACAGAAAATGGAATACACCCAATAAACACTTAGCTAAATACTGCCTAAGCATCACTGGTTTATTAATATTGAGTTCTTATGATTACAGCTTTTAGGATTAAAACCTGTACACATAAGGGCAGCTATTAAAATTAAAACAAATGCCTACCTTTTAATATCCATTTTAACTGTGCTTTAGGTTTATTTATTGTATGCTGGATGATTTACTTACATATAATCACCACACCTTCTCCCCACTAGAAGCTCTTGCACTTCCTGTTTTTTACACATTTTTGATTGTGAGCAGTCCTCCCAACATTCCTGGTGTGTCCTCCCACTCCCTTCAAATACACCCCCCTCAAAGGCAGGTTTGTGACCAGCTCCCAACAAATGTTGCAAGAACTGTTACACTTTGCTGATTGAAAACCCAAGGTACCACACAGTACATTTATATCAGAGCACTTCCAAGCAAGAAATCCTGGCTCCAAGTGGAACTGTCGTTTTCATTCCATATTTAGCTACGATTTGGGTCATTTAAAATGATCATCTTAAGAAGTGGTTCACATCCAGGAAGAATTCTGAGACTCAGAGAAGGAAAAGCAGGTACTTATTAACTCCCTAACCTACCTTTTCTCTATAAAGTTTTCTTTCAGGGTTTAATCTTCACCATAGAGCTCACAGTCAACCAAAGTGTTTAGAAAGCAAACAAGAATTAGACAGGTAATTTGTACCTTGGTAGAAACATGGGATGCAAAAAAATCTTCCTCCTCTTTGTTCTGAGGTGATGCTGGTGGTATTGCACACCCATCTGTCCACAGCTGAAATTAAGGGCCAGAGTTTTACAGGTTAATTGCATGAATGTACTCTTTTTCAATGCATTAATCTTAAAACAACTCTGTTTTGTTTTCAGGTTAAAAAAGTATTGATTTTTCTTCTTGTCCATATTTTTTCATTACAGATTTATCCAGTGTTCAATAGATGACATTCCTTTTTTTATTGTATTCATACACATTTCATGTGTTCCTGCTGGATCAGCCAAGAGCTTTGAGGAAAGCCAGATCTCAGGGCTGAGGTCCCCAGAGTGCCACAGAACTGCAGGACAGGACTCCAACCTGTGATTTGCACTTCAAGATCACTCACAGGCAAATCTTTTCTCACAGCTCTTCCTAATCCATGCAGGAATAATGACCTCTGTCAGAAAGGATAGTGAAGCTACAACAAGCTCACCTCACCATTCAGAAATCAGCTCTACCACTAAGTCAGAAAAGGAATTTTTTAACATGTCAGGGGGGAGATGGTTGGTACTAAACGCAATTATCTGAATAATTTACTTCAGTAATTTAAATTGCACCTAATCACCTTAGTTTGCAGTGCACAGCTAGAAATATTTACTAAATATTTTGTGCATTTTTCAAATATTTAATATCAAACTATTGGATGGAACCTGTAATTGAAGCAAGATAATCACAGTTCCTTGAAGAGTCATTTGGGGAACTTGACATAAACTTAGATACACACAGTATATTGCACTTACTCGAACACATTTTACAGCTTAAACTGTTCACAAAGTTCAGAGAATATACCTTTTGACTTAGTAATATGAATTCTATTGTCCATAGTATGAACAATTAAGATTATAATTATCTATTAAATTTCATGCTGTTTGATGCACAGATAAGAGAAAAAAAAATCAAGCCTTCTTGCTTTTAATTTCCACTCATCTGATCAACTCAAATGAACCAGTCACAAACTTCAACAATCTGAATTAAACAATCAAAATATATTTTCTATGTATGAAGAAGAGAACTATTGTCAAACTTATCTAATACTTCAGAAATCAATTCTGGATACTTTGCTTAACTCCTGTCAGCAACTTAACAATGTTTTGACAGCTTGCATGAACTGCCTCAGTGATTCTGATGGAGAACAGCAAGTTCTACACAACTTGCTTATTTCCCACATATTATTTCTGTAGGGAAAAAAACCAAAAAATACATTATTTACCCGATCAAAACAAACCTCACTTAAATCACACATAGTCTGTAGTTAATTCCATTACAATTTTTCATGCTGCACGCCTCTAAACATTCAATTTTAGATAAGCAAAAATAAAACCACTACATGGTTCATGGAGAAATGGCCACATTATGTGAAGACTGATAATCTTTTGTATTACTGATGAGAAATTTAAAGTGACTTCAGAGGGAAAGAAGGTGAAATTTTTCAGAAATCTCCAGGCCTCAGGACACACACTACTCACATCAGTCCCATGCTTTCTCGTGGCCTGTGTTGCAAGAGATTTGATCTTCTCCTTGTAGAGCTGAGCAGCACGACTGTTGTACTTGGCATTGGTGTCGCTGGTTGTGCACCCATGTTGGTGGAAAAAAGCAGACTGGGAAGTAGAACACAGAAAATGCTGTGAGGAACAGGCTTAAAAGCTAATGACATTTGACACAAAAACATATTGCAATGCATCAAATTACTCTACTCCTCTGCCTAAATCTAATCTTTTAAATTATGGAGTCTAAGTAATCTGCAAAGTACAAAGGAAACTCCACTCTGGTGACTTCTATACATATAAATAAAACAGAAAAAACCACAATACATCAGTGTGATGCTTTAAGAGCAAATACAAATGCAAGCTTCCATTACATACAAAAAATCCTTGTTCTGGAATTAAGTGATTGAGAGGAAGGAAGAGGTAAAATTAATTGCCAGTAGCTGTGCTCCACAGAACATTCATAATATTCTAAAAGGCACTGCTTTGATTCATCTCTGTCAGGCTGGGGAGATCAATGTATGTTCAATAGTATCAAAATGAGTGTACAAAAATGGCCTTCATTCAAATGAAAGAGGTGTCTATGCACGCATCTATGTGCCCAGATATGTTTATAGGCTTGTGTATTTATATAAAATTAATAAATTAAGATTGTGTATTTCTGCATGTAAATATATACACATATTAACTTGGGACTCAGGGGCTTCTTAGAAACCCTAATCCAAATTACCATAGAGATTTGATCCAAAAGCACAAGGAACTATGGACACTTTGTATTTTCCAGATTTCTGAAACACAGCAGGAAGCTCAGGACCACTGTTATCCAGGATTCAGCATCATCAGGCAATTACAGAACACAAATGATTGATGTTAATCTAGCAAGGCTTCTAGCCAATAGCTTGTAAAACTAGAATTTGGTATTTAACTGGAACCAAAAGAGAATGGTTTTTTAGTGCCATTAGAAGAAAAGTGTTAATTTTACTTCAAATGTCCAGACAATTTAGCAATCTGTTTTTTCAAGTTTCAAGTATTAACCTGCTGAAGTAATCCAAACCAGACCATTGAGAATTTAAGGTATTTGGGGAGTTGCTGAGGGGATAATGCACCTCTTGGTACCATGTATGGTAGGAACCAGTAACATCCAAGCAGAAGGACAAAACCCCACAAAATTAAACAATTATGGTTTATTGTTATTCTTCTCCTAATAGGCTTTGTAAGACTAACAGAAGACTTTTTCAGACTTTGCCATCTCTTCTTTCCAACTCTTCTTTCCAACTGCTTCAAACCCTTTTACATAGCAGAACTGATATAACTTAATCAAGGCTTTTAAGCATTTGGCTAAAAAAGAAACTATTCTTAACATGATTAAGAATATGATGATTATTCTTAACATGAAATCTCATCTTCTCCTTAGTCAAAATTGTGATATTTTTTTGTACTAAGTGGCATAACAGAAACTTGATGAGGACATTTATATAACAGCAGTACTAACACGGAAAGGAATAACTTAGCAAGGACAGCCAGAAGAAAAAGAGGGAGAAGACACCATGTAACTGCTCAGATCTGCAAGCCTGAGATAGTGACTTGCTGCATGCCAAATTCAAAGAAAAATATCTCACTGGAAAATACAGAAATGGACGATAAGTAACAATGACTCTGAAGTCAGCATTTTTTGTATGTAAATAGGAAAAAAAATAGAAAAACCCTAAAAGACTTAAAATGGTTAAAACGGTCAAGGAAAACAGTATGGAAAGCAAGCTTGGGTGAAGCTTCTTAAAGAAACAACATTACAGACCAAGCACAAATGAAAAGATAAAAGGGATAAAGCATTCAGGGAATTAGAAGAACAGCAGAAATTGCTTTTGGAAGTTGCATGCTCCCACACTGGGTGGGCAAACTTAAAGGAAACACTCTCAGTTATTTGTGGAAAAAGCTGTGAAAAGATTGCCCAAGATCTTACAAAAGAAAACAAAAAGGGAGATAGAGAACAAGACAGCTGTCAACAGAACTTCAATTTACAAACACGCTGTGTAAGTACATAAAAAATCAAGTTGAAAGTAACAGCCAGTGTGAACTGGCCCAAACCATGACACTGCCAGTCCCCCCCCCAAACAATGCAGCATGTCTTATCTGCAGTACTAACTCAGGTGAAGTCAGATCTTTACTCCAGAGTGACTTTTGGCAGTTCTGTGGGTTTTGGCATGTTTTTTTCATGAGCCATGGAAGGAATGATGGTCACAGGAAGGGGCAAATAAGCTTGCTTTACAAGCCATCTTTGAGCAGCTGTCTTAGATTAGGTGTGTACTGAGGAGGAACCTGACCTGGCCTTTCCAGTGATTTTCATCACTGACTTGTAAGAAAAAGAATAAAACATTTTCAGACTACCAAAATGGAGAAGGTGCAAGAATGGAGGATGAAATCAGCATCAAGAGGGATTATTTAAAGATAGGGAGGTGGGACAGTCTTTATGCTGTAATAAAGAAAAAGGACTGGAAAAATAAAAATAATCCCAGGAAGAGAGGCACTAAGGACAGACAACATTTTCCAAGCCTACCAAACCTCAACGTGCAAAGCAAACACTTGGGTGTACATACAGCATTTGCATTTCCTCCAACCTGCATGCATCTCAGCTGGAACCAGGACCAATTGGAATCCAGTTCTGTTGACCTAAACACAAAGCAATGTTTTTAGTGTCACACCAAAGCCATTTAAAATCACTTTGTTTCTGTTTGGTTTTTTGCCAAGTGTTTCTCTCCCCACCTCTTTTTTTGTAATCGGTAGTTATTTATCAGACCCCAAAAGGCCCTGAGTCAGCAGCTGGGATACTCACCTGGAATAGGACAAGCTCAGGGTGCAGACATACTGCACCAGCTGACTGCCTGAGCACTACCCAAGTACCAGAACCACAGAATAGTTTGACTTGGAAGGGTAAAACTCAGGTGCCACCACAATGAGCTGCTTCAGGAAGCAAAGGTGGCAAATTGAACACAATTACCAAGAAGCTATCAGATACAGCAAAGCCAACACAATCAGAAGCTGAAGGAAGAATGGGTTTTCCTCTCTGAGCAGGTCTGTGAACAAAGAAGACTATTAAAAGATTAATTTTGCTGTCAAAACACACCAACACTTACCGAATGAAACTCAAGTGAACGCCAAGGGACCGGTGGGTCCCTGAGCAATCGATACACAGAAACACTCCATAGGTAATGCTTGCCCAGCTGGGGTTCTTTGCTCCACAGTCAAAACACACCTTAAAGCAAGCAAACAAGCATACATCAGTAACAGGACTTGAGCATAATTAGGCCTTAGAGTTGTATTACAAGTGAATGTAACACCCCTGCAGTGATCCAACTTTGTTAACTCATTCTTACAGCGTTTGTTGACATGACAACTCCATGTATCCTAATTTTAAACATCTAATGAGGAGTTACACAATCTGCTCACACAGCCTCCCCATTTCCAAAAATAACCACTGTACACAGGCTGAGAAATCAGGTTAGAGAACCCACATCAGCCTAGTTCAAACACACGTTCAACACAGCAATTCCAGCACTGCTGGAATAGGAAAGTGGTTAGGAAATATTTTCCCGAAGGCAGGCTCTCCGTTGTACCTTTGAGTCCCCAGAAGGTTATCAGCAGGACTAATGCCACCATCATCTACTTTGCTATATTGAAACCTTGACCTTCAGGGCAAGCCATGGCAATGCAGCTGTGTGAAGAAGGCCTCTGAGCACAGCTTATCCAGACAGCCTCTGCAGATATTCGCATGATTCATCACACACCAATTGCCACATCAGCCTTTCCGCTGTCTGTGCCACGCTGGTTAAAAAGCAACCAGGTCCACAATTACTGCATGGACAAACCCAGGAATTTCCTACCCTCTGCCACCATGATGGACCTCTAACATTCAGACAAAACAGCAAGAACTGTGTGTGTGTCTCATACACTTTACAGGTCAGCAGACCACAACTTTCAAGTCCTTTTTCAGTTATTCTGAGCTTTGTGCTTCTTTGACCAAGGAAAGCAAGAACCAGAAAAGAATTATCTGACACAAACCAATTATCAAATGCAAGGAACACAATAACTTTAAACAGAAACAGCTATTCTGAGTTAATTCCATGTGCACACATCTATTCTTGTATGACAGGACTTTATCAGATCAATGCTTTTTCAGAGGTATCTGCAAAGACTGCAGAGAAGTATTTTTACAATAAAAGCATCCACCTAATAAGCAGGGGCACCTAATAAGAAATAACTCCACAGAGAGACAAGCTTTTACACGCAAATTGACAGTATGCCAATTTGCAACTTTATGCTTTAAAATCCTCCTATAAACTTAATGCATCCTCAGATAGCAATGGAAGTTCTGGCTACATGCAGATATTAAAAGAAAAGTTTATTCCAAGCCAGGTGGGGACATATGAAACATCATAAACAGGCCCCAGAGCTTCCAGCACCTCCTTGCCAAGCTGAACAACAAAATAAAAATAAAAATTAAGAAGTCTTCTTGTCAGAAACTCCCTCTGTAGACCTGGATAGAGATTTTTGTCTCTATTTTTTTGTACATACACGGTCAAACAAGCCCTGAGTCTGGGCTCAAGTCATGTCACCTATCATCCATCCAAATTAATTTCAACTACATGCCCAGGAGTAGTTTGAGGCTAAACTCAGTTTAATGTGAGTATATTTAGCTTGGGCAGTCCAAATTTATCAGGCACAAGCACAGCACACCAGCAGATCCAGCATTAACTCTTCCAACAACTGAACACTTTAAGCCTAAGCTTTAGTTAGGTAATGACTGGTAAAACACACATAAATCATGGAGATCACAGCTCCTGCAGGTGCAAGTCCTGCCTTTCCCTCTCAACAGGGACCTAAGACTTATTAATGTTATTTACATATCCCACTCCTGTACATGGAAATGGGGCATTCACTGGCATGCAGCAGAAATGAGAGCAACACAGAATGAGTGACAACAAGAGGGGTTAGTGAGAGTCCCTGAAACAAGCTCAGGTGGAAGAATGGCACAGAAGGGGTGGGGGATAAAGAAGAATGAGTAAGACTTCATGTATGCCACATTCTAAGAAAATACACAGCATAACTAGCCAGAACTTGTTTTTTTTTCTCAAATTCTGTGAAGCAGCTCCTTAAAAAAAACACGAGATTCATTTTCATTTTACATTGACTACTTTCAGGCTTTTTCTTGCAAGGTCAAAGGAGGATGGGTCAACAAAAAATGAAGATTCTGCTTGAAACCAAAGCCAAGAGAGCAACCCTGGTCTCACTTCTGATACAGGAGAGCAAAGCTGACTTACAGCTGGAAGGCTTGTGGAAATTCTCTGGAGTACAAATGGGAAACGAGAATCTGGAGTGGGAGGTGAAAAAAAAAAACCCATGTTTTTAAAAGTTCACTTATACCTGAAGATTCTCCTCTTTTCCCTTTCCTTTCTTCCAATTTGTAATTTCAACATCTTAAAGTCAATTGCACCACCTTGGAGTTGGCTGCCACAGCTCAGTGTCTTCACTCTCACAGGAGTCCCTATCGGACACCTGTGGAAATTATTCCCAGGCATAAAAATGTACCTTTCAGGACTGAGATGCAAGCAGAAACATCCAATTTTCTTCTGAAAGCAAAGGAGGAACTGCTATTTCCATTAATGTTATGCAACAGAAATTGATGCATGTTTCACTAACATTTAGACTAATTTTCTTATTTTTTTCAATTTTTAAAGTGCTTCTCACCACATAAATTTTAAGAAGAACCAGGAGGAAGAAATTAAAATCAATTTCAGAGCCACCCTAAGAAATTGTTTCCACTTAAAAAACAAATTGTATTTTCTGTACTGATTTAGGTTCAATTAAATAATTAAAGTATTAATTAAAAACAAATTTGAAGGATATGCTTAAATAATCTAGTGCTTTCAAAATACTTTCAAAATACTCCCACTTGCATGCATTTTGTTTACTTTGTGTTGAAACACTTCACAGTATAGATTCAGTATAAGTCACTTTGGAAAAAAACAGCCAAAGACCTAACTGAGAGCAAACACAGAGATTTGGGTATAATCCACAGAAAGCAGTCAATAAATCATAAAACATCCACCTTGCGCAAAGCACCTACATTAACAAATAAATAGATAACATATTGACATTGGCTATGGAAATGCAGTAATAAATAGCTGACAGAAATGCTATTTTTGGCACAAGCAGAAGAGGTGAGTTGGTTCAGGAAGAGCACTTATCCCTGAGGTCAGGGTTACACGGAGACTTTCTACATTTTGAACCTGCCCCAGAACAGGGCTCCAGCCCCAGGGCAGATCCATACCTCGCCATTCCGAGGCTGTGCGTCCAGCTGCCTGAACACTAACCCAGATGGAACTCAGGAGGCAGTGCCACACTCAGCCAAGGGGATCTAAACCCAAGCAGCTCCTCTTAGTCACCAGCCACTGTCCCCAGATATGTTTTCCTTCTTTCCTTGCATCAGCACTGATCCCGCTGGGAAGCAGCTCTGCACAGGCACTTGGACTCAGGGCAAAGGTAGGGCCAACTCACAGCACAGCCACCTTTTCAGGAATGCCACCATAAGGGAGGGAACTGCAGGACTGGCCACGGGAAGGCCAGAGGACTGCCCATCTCAGAAGTGTCATCATCTCAAAATGACTTAAGGGACACAAGACAGTAGCATCCATCCTGGGGCAAAACCCAACACAAACCACACCCAAACACACAATGTAATAACAAAACTCAACTACTGATAAACCACCAGCACAACACGCACACTGGGAGTCCAAGCAGAGACAGGATGAAAGAAAGAAATGAAAAACCATTTTCAGAGGGACAGATCTAAAAGGCCTGACAGAATCAAAGACTTTCAGCACAGCCTGAGTGTGCAAGTCTTCAAAGGGGTTGAGCTGCAGAACTCAAACACTCAACAGTATCAAGCAGCTTAAGGACCATGAACAGATTTATGGTACAAAATACATCCTAGTTAGTAACTGTAACATGTTTGTTAAGTCATCAGGCAGCTGATCAACAGTCTGCTGTCATCAGGCAGCTCTACATTATGTAACACCCAAAGACACCAAGAACTCAAAACCTCATCATAAAGGGAACTAACATCAAATTACAGATGTTAATTTCAACACAATTATTAAAACATCACTTTCAACACACTCTAACCCACATATTAAACTGCACCTTTATTTAAATGAGAATTATTTTCCTAAGCTGACATACACTAAGAACTACTGCAGAGCACCCAGACCAGTGTAAATGCACTTGCCTGCCTAGACCAGGCAGTTCTTACCAAATTCTATCCATAAACTGCACAGCTAAAGCAAATTACTAATCTTTTAATCCAGAACCCTTTTCAATATTTGCACTTTCCCATGTCTTGCTCTCCCCCCCACTCCCCCCAAAAAGACTTGCAAATAAAAGGGACAGATAGACTGCTTAAGAAGAACACAACAGAAAGGAAACAGAAAGGAAACAAACGTGAGGAGAAACTGATGGAAGAAACAACTTTTACTTCAGGAGAACAGTCAGACAAGCAGGAGTGGGAGAGTTGTGAGATCTAAGCAGCTGTTTTCCACTCTCCCTCTCTGCCTTCTTAGGTCACCCAGACCGGGCACCACCGCATTGTTATCGAGTTCTCTGTGCCTGAGCCACTTCTTTGCCACTGGCTCACGGTAAATGGCAGCACACATTGTGCTACTATTGCTATGTCAACACTGAATTTCTGTGTGGCATCTGACATGGGGTGACAGATACACCTGAGCAACCACAGGTACCACATCCACCTGATTACACAGTAACAAGGAGTCCAGCACAGGGGAACTGCTTGAGGCATTCCACGCTTGCCAGGCAGGGGCAGTACTTTCTAGTTCTCCTGTGATCCCAATGAAAATAAAGTACCACAATAGCCCTAAACTACTCAATTTTCAGGCAGAGTGACAGTGAATTTCAGGGGCTTGTAAGAGATCTCTCACCGTCGTTGTTGGGACTAGAACCTTTCCTTGATAGACTTTTTACCCCATTGCAAAGGCAAGTTTTAAGAATTCTGCTCTTAGAAACTAAGTGCTCACCTCTGAGCTCTGCTTGGAGAAACCAGACCTGTACAGTCTTAATGAATTGTGTTCAAAGTGTGGAAGTCAATTTTGGACCAGAGACAGACATCCGGATTCCTACTCCCAGAAAACAAACCCTACCTGTTCCTTTGTAACTCTAATCCAAAGTTTCCTGGTGCGTGTATAAATCACATATGTTGTCAGCGTACATCGCAAAGCCAACATAAACAAGCAGCACAGAGCAGCTGAAGGGACTTGTGCCGCGTCACCTGGCCAGCCACCTTTCCCAGCCCAATGGGCACTACCAGAACCACCTTCACACCACGGAAAAACCCACCTGAGCACGGGACAAGCCCAACGGGATCCCAAAACAACAAACTTTTATCACTACAGAAATGGCTGTGCCACTTCGCTGGATAATAAAAACAGGAAAAAAAAAATGAACACACTCAACACTACGTTGCAGTTGGCTGGGAACTTGCTTTTATGTTCAGAGGAGCTGACTCGCAGCAGACCTGAGGCACCCGATGGGCGCCGCACCTCCCTGCCCAAGGGATCCCTTCGGGCATGCCGGCCGGAGGGACGAGGGGCAAGCAGGGAAGAGCTCCCCTGCTCCCGGGACAGCCAACCCGAGGACTCACCGGGCCTTTCCCTGCTGTCCCGGGCCGGACGTGCCCGGCTGCGGGCCCCACGCCTCCCCCGCCCCGCCGGCTGTGCGACGTGTCACCGCGGCGGAGCGTTGCCCGCCGGCCCGGCCCGGCCCCTCACCTTGTTGGTGGGCACGGAGCGGAGCCGCTTGAAGATGGCGACGATGTCCTGCTTGCTGGGTTCGCACATGGCGCCGGGAGAGCCGGCAGGGCCGCCGGCGGAGCCGCGACGGAGAAGGGCCGGGGCTGCCGGGGCTGCCCGCGCCGCCACTCCCGGGACGCTCCGCCCGCCGCGGCCCGGCCCCGCGCCTGGCGCCGAGGGGCGGCGCGGCCCCGCCCGGTTGCCGCGGAGATGGGAGCGAAGGAAGGCGTCCCCGGGGTGCGCGGTGCGAGGGGGTGCAGGTGGTGGGAAACCCGCACCCACCGGCTGCGCCCTGCACAGGGTCACGGGAGCATTCGGCCTGGAAGAGACCTCGGAGATGAGCGAGCCCAACCTTTGAACGCTCGCCGCCGCGTCAGCTGCGCCACGGCATTGAGCGCCACGTGCATCTTTCCGACAGGGACTGGGACTCCGCCGCCTCCCTGGGCAGCCCGGTCCGATATCTAATCACCCTTTCTATGAAATAAATCCACCTTATGTCCAAACTAAACCTTCCTTGGCACAGCTGTGTCCTCTCGTCTTGTCCCTTGTTCCCTGGGAGCAGAGCCTGACCCCCACCTGGCTGCACCCTCCTGTCTGGGAAGTGTGGAGAGCAATAGGGCTCCCCTGAGCCTCCTTTTCCTCCGGGTTAAACACCCCCAGCTCCCTCAGCCACTCCTCATGAGACTTGTGCTTCAGCCCCTTGCCCAGCTCTGTTCCCTCCTCTAGACACACCCAGTCCCTCAATGTCCATCTTGCAGTGCCAGGCCCAGAACTGGGCACAGCACTTGGGGTGAGGCCTCCCCAGTGCCCACGACAGGGGGACAGTCACTGCCCTGCTCCTGCTGGCCTCACCATTGCTGACCCAGCCCAGCAGCCATTGGCCTTCTTGCCCACCTGGGCATGCACTGTGGAGCAGCAGGCCCAGGCCCTTTCCTGCTGGGCTCTTCCCAGCCGCTCTTCCCCAGCCTGGAGCTACTGGGGGTTGCTGTGACACAGGGGCAGGACCCAGCACTTGGCCTTGGTGAACCTCATTCCTTTGGTCTCAGCCCATTTATCCAGCCTGTCCACATCCCACATCACAGGATGTGGGAATGGGAATCAGCCCCTCTCAGACCTCCAAGAATTTATTTTTTACTAAACTTGAAGGCCTGACATGAAGATTTTAATATTTTTAGGATGATGAAAAGGCCAGAAACAATAAAAATCTTTTTTCCTGTCTCTTCTTGTACTTCACAAAGGAATAGGCTACAAAGCCAATACTCAGGAAATTATAATAAAATCAATTAAAAATTGTCTTCCTTCTCTCTTCTTTCACCCCATAGAAATCTGAGGAGTGTATGACCCAGGGTGGTTTTGAGGCTGTTCGCTGACAACATTTGCAAGCAGAAGAGTAAAAGAAATTGACATCCCTGGAAATACCGATCTACATATGTAGCCTTCCTCTGAGACAGCTGTATTCAACTATTTAAAAAATAAGATTATTAAAATATTGGTGTGTGTGGTTCTGATACCTCACTGATTGCCTTGTGTCACCCTCACCTTGCACTGTCTTCTACCACCCATCTGGTAATATTCTGGTATTACCAAATGTCCAGTCTCATGATTTTGCCTGTGTCTTGGGTCTAATTTCTGGCTTTTTGGGTTTTATGTGCTGCATTTTTATCTTGAAGAGGGGAGGTCAAAGGTAAGTCTGAAAAAAAAAAGAGGGTAAGTAGCAAGATCTATAAAACAGGTGTGCTATAAATGGGCTACCCCACATATACTGACACTCATACAAATACCAAATGTTATTTTTCCTCCAGTCTGACTAACAGAGGACTGGAGGAAACCAAACCAACCAACCAACCAACCACATAACAGCAAAAGTGCTTTACTGAACCTCTTTTTTGACTTCTGTTCATATATGTATTATAAAGATAGGGTACATTGCCAACAGCAGCAACAGCAACAGCTAAAGTACAGGAAGTTTAGATATATATTATATATCTATATAATATATATATAGATATATAAGTTCTAGATATATTTGCTATACAGACTCCTACTCAGAATCTGCAAATCCTCTGCAGCCTGCCACAAAGAAATTAAAAAGGATAAGATCAAAAAATAATATAAAAACAGACAATAAGGTCATAATTACAAACAAATGTATTTGAACTTCAGTGCCTCAGTTCCAGTGGAGGACTCAGTTTTAAATGAAGCTATGGCATGTGGGAGAAAAAAAACAAACACAAACAAATACAAAAATCAATTACTGTCCCAAGACAGAAACAGTATATTGTGAGGTGCTCTTCTGGACAAGTGGGACAGAACAATTCAATTCAAGCCAATGAGGAGATGAAATGGAGACTTCTCTACTAATAACATTCAGTTTCTTGAACTTTCAATATCCCTTTCTTACAAATCCAACTAATTTTAGTTGGCTGTCAGAAGAAGAAAAACCAAGACCAAGCCCAGCCTTTATATAAAGGATTTTTATAATTCTGTGATAAATAGGTGTGATTCATGCTGACCTGGTTTGTCTGTGAGTTTTTGCCCTTGCATATAATCCAAAAGTGTATCTGTGTTGCACATCAGTGCAGAATCAAGTCAGATATGAATTAAAAGTATGTCTCTACCTGGTCATTTTTGTTGTCTAAACAAGGCCCGAATCCACCTTTTGATGCAGGATCTTGAGCCCATGTCTTGATACATGCACTGATATAGTTGGATGGTTGCTGGTATTATAGGATTAAGAAAATTCCAAATAAAATTAATATATATATTGTCCATATATGGAGAGGTTAGAGGTTTTACAGAGCTCTGGGATGACATAACTGGAGAGTGATCAGACTGATGGCATATCTTCATTTTGTCTCCTCAGCCAAAATAATGTAAAATAAAACAGACACTACGTCCAGTTCCGTTGAAAAAGCAGAACCTTCCTGTGCTGACTCATCTGGAAATGAAAGAGACAAAAGCTGCTAGAATTAGAGAACCTCACTGAAGCTCAACCTGCTGTGAGTGTCACCATGGCTGCCTAAAAATACCAGCCTTTGGTTTGGGAGCTTCCTTGCACCTCCTGTGCTGATTGTCAAGGTATCTATGGAAATCCAGCAGGGCTGGGAAGGGCTTACCCGGTATGGCAGCAGGGTCAGGGGCTGTAACATTTCACCGCCAGCAGGATGACCGTGAGGAGCAGAATCACTGCGCAGAAGAGGAGGGCAAAGACAAGGTAGCACCAGGGGGAGTTCTCCAAGCAGGTCACTGCCAAAGGGACAAGGGACAGTGGGCAGAAGCAAGGTGACACTTTTGTTCTGAATTATGGAGTATGAAAAATCATTGTCCCTCCTATACATCCAGCACTTGTATACATACATATATATATACAACATGTAACTATTAAAATCACACTCTCAGGGTCAGAATAAACCTTTTCTTGACCAGTCCTAAATTTTATCATCACAGCCATTGAGAAGAAACCTAAAACTACAACCTCTTGCCTTCAGTGGCAGAGCACAGCTTTGCCAGCATTGCTGTGCCAGAGTTTTGCCACGTGCACACACAGCACTGCCAGTGCTTCCCACTCTGGAATATGCCCTGCCTTTTCCTTGGAAAATGGCTTGCACTGGTTGTGCTATCCTGTGTTAATTGTCTGAGGTTGCACAACTGAAGATCCACAAGGAAAGCTTGAAGGCCCCATTCAGGCTTTAAAAAAAATTTTTATAGGTTATTTGAAATTCTAGAGACTCTTCCCAGATTACCATAATTTTTAAGCACAACAAAGACGCACTTGTTTAATTAGTCTTTAAATCCCTGCCTCCATCATTTTCTCCTCCAACTTTAATCCCGGCTAGGATCACTGTGTTCATTTGATCCCCATTCCTTAATACTTTCCATTTAAACTGCTCCCCAATCTAAACAAGAATCAGAACATTCAGCTCCTGTGGTTTTAAAGAGGATCCAGTTAAGAATGTGAAGGGACAGAACTCTCCTAGTAGCATTTATCCATGTGTAGAGCATGTATGGATTTTGATACTCCTTGAAGAAAATTCTAAAAACCTAGACAGTGTAGCTAGAAGCAGAGAAAGGAAGGGAGGGATTGAGGACTGGGATATAAAAAGGAGCCAAAAAGCAGACAGGTCAATGGCCCTATATCAAAATTGCATTTCTGACAACACTTTCCATGCTGTATTCCAAGCCTGGATCCACTAAGATAAAATCATAGGGCATTTCAGTGAAGCCAGTAAATTAGTTTTGTCTTTGTAGCAGGGTCTCCACCCGGCCCACTGCCTTGTCTGCCTGACTGTCACTTTTATTCAGAAAACACATCTGAAGCTTTCAGTTTCTTTTTGCTTGTTGTGAGACCAAATTAAACCCCAGTGGAAATGTTTGTTTGCACTAGCATTTCCCACAGCTAACATTTTTTTCCCTGCATATATTAATTGCTTGTATGCATCACATGAATGCAATATTCTCTTCTTCATTTTCACCTCATACACAAGAGTCAAAACTCATATCCAATATATTATTTCACTTTGCATAACAAAATTTTCTTTCAAGGCTGGTTACATGGTTTGAAATAGTTTAAACTATCTTAAAATTTTAACTTAAGAAAAGACAGACACATTTTTTCTGGAATTGTCAAAAAGCTGTTCAGAATTTTTGCTTTTTGGCTATTACTTTTCAAAAGTAGCTTAGTTTTGCTTTAAATACTATTGTTTACCCAAAATTCATTCAGAAGTGAAAAGTACATGGAAATTGTTGCTAAAATGAACAGAAAACCTTTCAAGTGCCTCTATTGCAAAATTAATTTTAAGCATGTTCTGAGCATCCTTCAGGAGTGGAGAGCAGGGAAAAATTGATTGACATCACCTGTAGCAAAGAGAAAAAACAACTCCCTCCCATACTCTGGAAAATTATGATGTTTGGCTGCTGAAACATAATGAGAAAATGTGAAGTGTCCTGCGGTGTTGCCATACCTGAATGTGTAATTTTGGGTGTGCTGTCAGGTCTGTCAGATCTCCAATTCATATTCACCTCAGCATATGTGACTGAATCACCTGGAGGGACAAAAAGTGTTGAAGGTACTAGAAGAGTTCCTGCAACAATGGTTCTTCAGTGCAGTATTCCAAATAAACAAACAAACAAATAAATAAATAAATAAATTTAT